AAATAAAAAAGGCAAAATAACAAATAGTGGACCGTTGGAAGGACGAAGTCCACTCCCTCACTAACCAGTGAGATCACTTAAACATCTTCAAAGCACTCGGACACTAAACTCAACTGATACTCACCACGAAACACAATGGTGACCAAACAAGAAAACCCAATCAAGGCCACAAGTTACACAAAACAAACCTCATGGTTGTTCGATCCCGGAAGAGCCCCCATTTTGTTACGCACCACCATAAGGCGGCCCTATGGGGCTAACAACAAACCATACATCAACCCATTAAAAATACTTGAAACACCTTAACAAAGCCAAAACAAAGGGATTTGTGATTGTGATTTGTGATTTGTTATTTGTTATAACAGACAATCCCTGACTGCGAGGCACAGCAGTCCCAACTCCAAATGCCTCCCTTTCTGCAGTCAGCTGCATTGGCCTTTTAAGCTCTGAGGCCAGGTGTGCCTCACTGTTCAATTAGTGGCTTCACCTGGGCTGGAGACAACAGGAAGTGGAGAAGGAACACACAGCACAGGGAAACACACAGCCGTAACACTACCCTGTCCTTGGGGTGCGTTCGAATTGTAATTTTTACTTAGGAAGGTTCCTAACTGAGTGAAATGACCCAGAAGCATTTAAGTGGAAAGGTGGGTCAATGCTTCCTTTATAACCTCCTTTAGCATAGGATACACTGGACCATCCTTTATGAAAGGAGATGAGATATGCCGCCCCACAATTCCTTGCAGCGGAACATTTAACGCGAGTTGCGCATCCGACCGTTCACGAGAATTAACGATGATCGTAAAGTGACACAGATCATGTAAGAGATAAAAGATAAGAGACATTTTTATCAGATGATGTGTAGGTTATATCTTATATAAATGTAACAATGAATTTCATACAATCATATTTATTTTGATGTTGATTTCTGATTGGACAGGAAGGTGATGGTTTCACTTTTCTTACTTGTAGCCTGGTGGTCTATATTTCTTTTATTTCAATCCCAACCTTGGTAATTAGGATTATTTCACCAGTAAGAAGGCACAGGGGAAAGTTTTTAGATGATCTTTTTGTAGTCTATTTTCTGAACATTGTAGTTTCAACACGGCAGACCCTCATCATTAACCTCCGCCGGCCCGTCACATTTAATGACGTGGCCTAGTGGAAAATGTGGTCGGATTGTCAGAGCAATGAGATCACCTTTCCCTAAGTCCTTTATGAATTCTCCTAACATCTTTCCTTAACCTCATGACGTTTTCCCCGGGGTTAAGGTAAAGTGGATAGTGAAAGGAGATAGGAGGGACAATTGGAACGCACCCCTGGTCTTGGTCTCACCCTGCCTTGATCTTGGTCTTGACTCTGTCTCGACCCCTAAATGTGCTGGTCTTGGTCTTGGTCTTGGTCTTGGTCTTGGTCTTGGTCTTGGTCTTGGTCTTGTCTTGGTCTTGGTCTTGGTCTTGTCTTGGTCTTGGTCTTGTCTTGGTCTTGCCCTCCCTGTGTCCTGGTCTTGTCTCGGTCTCGCCCTGTCTTGGACGTGACTCGATCCGATCTCTAAATGTCTTGGTCTTGACTTGGTCTCGGTCATGTTTTGGTCTTGGTCTTGGTCATGGTCTTGGTCGGCGACGTCCTCCTCTATATTTAGAGCCATTACTCTTTCCTTCTTTCAAAATAAAAGCAGGCTCGTGGGCTAAGGATTTCAGCGGCTGCGCTTACCATTTCCTGGCAGATATCCATACCAGGTGTTGGTCAGCACTCCCATCCCCCAGGAGGAGGAGGAGCCCATGAACACCTGACCCATCAGCTTGGCATCAGAGGGAACCTGCATGGGGATGAAGTCCGTGTCCAGCTTCTTCTTCTTGCAGGTGAATTTGCTCCAGTTGATCTCATAGTAGACTTTCTAAACAGGACAAAGACAGAAACTGAATGTTTGCTATGAAATTCTCAAACATGTTTTCATTCAGTTTTCACCCTCTTATAATCACAACTTCCTGCTTTTTTCCTTCAAAAAATATCAATCAGTGATCGGTTGTTAAATTTGTCTCCAAGCCATCATGTGTCTGTGACAGCGCCCTCATGGTTCAAACAGATATCTGCACAATCATTTGGTGCAGCTTGTCACACCTTATTGAAAAGCATCAGCGTGTCCAGAATAGCGGTGTGGTTGGCTGCGAGCCCCATGGTCTTGACTCTCATCCTCTGACCAATAGCATCATAGCTGACTGTTCCGGTGGAAGAGATAGCTCCGACAGTCATCTGAAGGAGAGGTAGAGAGCACAGGGAGAGAATGAGAGAGTGAGATACAGAGAGTGGGTCCATCCAGGAGAGATTACTCGAGTGAGACGTGTGACGAAACTCACCACAGTGAGACCTCCGCTCATCAAGGCCGGAGCCACTGCAGAGGTGTGTGGGGGGGGGGGGGGGGGGGGTCAACATGTTAAAGAAATCCGGATTCTATGCAAAGCAGCGTTATTAACTTCAAACAGTAACTGTTGATTATGAAGACAGGAATGATAACAAGATCATTAAGTGTTAGAACAGGAAGTTCAGCACAGAAACAGGAAGTGGTTAGGGGTGCCAGAGTGAGGTCAAACAGCTCAAAGGAATGCTATCAAAGGTCGATGTGTGATGTCATAAAGTGGATATTACTTTGGACTCCTCAGCTGAGCTGTCTGAGAGTTTGTTAAAGTGAAATGAGACATTCAAAGATGCAGCAGTGTTCTTCTTTTACATCACTGAGACTACAGGGAGACACTGAGGAGCACTATCTACGGAGAGCTTGAAGGGACAAAATAACATGAGATTAATTGGGATCAATAATAAAAACATTATTGCTGACATCAGAAATTACTGCACTCGTCTCGAATCTGTCTGAAGGCGACTTTTATGAATAAAGTTTGATGTCTAATTCAAAGTCGAGCTTCATCAGAAAGCACAAAAATAAAATCTTTGGAACAGATCTGGACATGTGAAGTGTGAGACTCACCGCAGGGCTTGGGTGCCTGGCTGGCAGCGGCAGCTAGCAGCAGGCTGAGGCAAGACAGCACACCGACCACGTTCATTTTGAGACGAGGGGTGAAGGTTAGAGCACACAGGGAACACACTCCTCCATATATACCTGCACACAGCTGGCAGCGCTCACACCGTGTGTTTCACCCCCCCTCTCTTATCTCAGCGTCCCAGTGAGGAACAATCAGATCGCATTTATACAACCACCAAATCCTATGCACCACTAATGTTTTCTGAGCCTTTGAGCTTATATAACATTTATTTATTTCCGTCTTTAATGGAGTGTATTGTCATGATTCAAGGCGTTTTCATCCTTTAGAGTCTGCATGTTTAACCCCTAAAGTCTACAGGTGCAGCGTTTTGTCAGCAGGTGTGAATATTCACAACGTTACACTAAATAATCTCACCTGCTTTTTTTCTCAGCGTGCATTTATCTGAGGTACCTGTGAATGTTCAGGTTCTGTTTTTGTCGGGACGCATCAGGTACAACAAAGTACAACTGATCCTCTTTTAATTTCATTTAAATTATTTTTATTTGAACATATTTTCAGATTGAATAATTTCAGTGATTTTTAAATGTTCTATTTTAATGTTTCTTTTCTTTCCTCTGTCATGATGCTTTTGATGTCTTGTGTGAAGAACTTTGAATTGCCTTGATGTTGAAATGTGCGATATAAATAAACTTGCCTGGCCTTCTTTGTGTGATTACTGCTTTGATAACATGACCTATAGCTGTAATCGCTGTGGTCACTTTACCTGGAGCATGGACGGGGTCATCTTACGATATATCCTGTTCAGCACACCTGTTCTCTTTGACTTGAACTCTTATCTCCACCTCTCCTGGTTCAACAAATAGAGTTGGTTTGGAGCCTAAGATATCTGCGTTTTCTAACCGATGAGTCGCTCTTGTCACATTCAGCAGCTGGTCAAAAGGTTAAAGCTGAAACTTTGAATTCTGTTTCTCATTTGAATCTAAGAGGCAGGTTGCTGCCACTTTTATGTCTGGGCTGGACTACAGTGATGTTTTATTGTTTGAAGGATTAGACTCTGACTCACTCAGAAATATATTCTGTCAACAACTGTTGGATGCAGACACGCGTGCTCATCATAGTCATAGTTTTCAGGTAAACGTCTCAAAAACTTTGAATTTGTTTTCCATAAAAGTTGGATCAGGATGAAAACTTTGGGATCACATAACATTATTATGTTTAAATGTAACTTCTTCAAGCTTGGTTAATCTTCTACCTTCCATCTATGAGGCCTGTTTGTTTTGTATGCAGTAAGTATGGTGCTCAGGTAGAGCTGGAGATATCACTTGTTTTCAGCCAAGGTCAGGGTGCGAGCCAGCAGGAGCTCGAAGGCGTCTGAACTCCTTTGAAAGCTGTCAAACTAAACATCTGTTGGGGTCTCTTAATGTTTACCAAACTACTGTTACTTTAGGAACAAATAAAACACATTTTAATGTAACAACATAAATAGATTTAAAGGGGTCATATTATGCTTTTTCTGGTTTTATATGCTCTTTAGTGTGTTTTCCAAGTGTCCTGTGCATGTTTAGGCACATCTATGTGAAAAATTCAAAGTCAGCGGAAACGCGGCTTCTCCTACGTGTAGCCTACCACAAAGTGTGGGCTTAAGTTATTTAATGTAGCTAGGCTAGTCAAGATATCAGAATTTTATACTTTGATGGAAAATTAGAAAATATCAGAACAATTTTGACCAAAATCAATAATAAGTCATAGACACCCAAAATTGGGTAATTTTGTTTTGTTTTGAATTACCAAAAATTTCAGGCAAACTCTTGTGCCGTGTCTAAATTGCAGTCAGTTTTACAATGGAGGTGTTGTCATAGCAACAGCACAAGGTTGGCTGAGGCTGTGGTGGTGGTGGGTTCCAATGTGGTCTGTGATCTTTTCATGGGGCCCAGACATCCTGGCAACACCCCTGCTTGTAGGTGTCATGTATCTTCATTTTTAAAAAAGCACCCATAACAGTTCTAAAAATTCTAAATTATTTTTATTTACCTTTTACATTTAAAACTTTAAGAAGCATAAAACCAACATACAGAAACATTTCAAGCTCGTATAACTTAAATTGGATAAAGGGTTAGTTCACTCACAACAAAATGAGTACTGTGGTGTCTAAACTCATGTAAACACATTATTCATCACCTCCTGTGGGAGGAAGGGTATTATTGTCTCAGAGCTCACATTGACAGAAAAACAATCACAGTTTAATGTCCGATGGCAGCAGTTGGTCACGGGTTATATCAGCTCTTGAATAAGACAAAACTTTTTGCATGTCAAACGACTGGGCTCTGCCTCCAGAGTCACAGCAGGTGGGTTGACAGCTAATGGAAGACAAAGGCTGTGACATCACAAACTGTGGTGCGGCCAGTAGTCTAACATGCAATACAGTTTCAACCTGCGCAAATGTAGATTTCCAAAGTCAGCCTTGCATTATGTGGCAAAAAGTTAAAAAATTAAAAATGGAAATGTTGGTACATTTTAGCAGCTGACAACAAGTACATGGCATAAAATAATCTTATCCTGTGTTTAATAGTGTCTTGGTCTAAATGTATATTCAGACTTTATTGGACAGTGTTAACGCACAAAGTGAAAAATAAACAATATTAATGTGAATGTTAACACAAATGGCCTTGCTACAAAGTGACTTACAGTGAATGACATAAAGCAAATCTCTGGATTTATGACAGTTTAAAACTAAACATGTGCAAAACACTAAAGCTAAAGGGAACGTGTTGAGTCACTTCATGTGTTATCTAGTGAGGCATTTCAGTGCTACAATAACAACAAACCCGTTACAAAAACTCCATGCTTAAAGCACGCAACCAAACAGTTTTGTTTATGAGGTGTGAGAACACTTTTTACAAAGCACGTCAATATTGAGAGTGGTTAAGTCTATTAAACATCCAGTTTCAGTGTTGGGGACAAATTGCACTTGTGAACACATTGTTAGCCACCATGGCTATAAAAGAAAGGCTCCATTTCCATTCCTCTCTTAGCTCAGCAAACAGCTAAAAGTGAGACTAGAGGAAGCCCTGCTGAATTTCGGAGGATGAATATGCACAAAGAGCTTCATGACATCACATCCTTAAAACATTTCCTCTACATTTGTAGCTTAATGGAAAAAAGCAAGACATAAATGTGGTAAGATATTGGCCTGTTTCATTGAAGAAGTGTTTTAAGAAGTTTTCAACCCATTACATTCTTCAACAATGAAGGTCTCAACATGTATCCTTTAGTTCAGTGTCTCCTACCCCCAGCTGTCAACTGACTGGCCCCAGTTAAACTCATAACCCTTGAATAATATAAGGCTCTCCAGGTCCCTGTCCTCAGCCCTCTCCTTTAGCCTCTGCTCCTCCAGAATAGACACCAGCATGTCTCGCTTCTCCACCGTCCTCATAATCTCTGACAGCATCTCCTGCTCCTCCTGCAGCTCAGAGGTGCTTTTCTTTGTATCTGGGGCCAAATGAAAGAGAACACAGGAAGGAAGGGTTTAGTATTTTGCAATCAGATATTGTGTTTGAGTGCTCGGTCAACCCTCACCTTCAACAGCCATTCGGTGCCTTAGTTCTTGCTGCAGTCGGCTCTGTGTGTCCTCCAGTTCAAGCTCCTGGGCGCTACAAGAGGAAAACAATGGTTGACCTCAGTAGTGCGGAATATATTTAAAAAAAAATGTGTCAGTGGTTGATCAGATCCAGTCACTTACAAGATCATGAGTTCAGACTCGTAGCGTGCCATTCTGTTCTTCTCCAGAACGAGTTTGAACCAGGTCTGATAGAGCTGGGCCTCTTCACTGTCATCTGACGGAGACGATTCTGAAAGGAGGAGAGTTGGAGAGCAAGGAAAGACCAATGAAGGAAGGTAGGAGAGATGGTTTGTAAGGAAAGAAGAAATAAAGAGGCAGAATGGATGTCACAGGATTGGGAAGAAAAGTAGGCAGGATAGAGAAAACAGAAAATATTTTAGATTATATATTAACGACGTAAAGCCATTATAAGAAAATAATCACACTTGGATCATCCATGTATACAAACTAACTAAAAACCATGGGCTTTGCCGCAACTTGACAGGATAATACTTATTTATTTTTAACCTTTATTTAACCAGGTAAATAACCCATTGAGATCAGGATCTCTTTCACAAGGTGACCTGTCCAAGAAGGCAGCAGCACACGTCATAAAAAGCATTACATGATAAAGAGACAATAAGTTAAGAGAGAACAACAATTTACAATGTGCAAATTGATTTACAGATAAAGTGCAGAATCTTGATCACAGATTACAATTCAGAAACACATCAGGCAGTGTCCAATTGTCTCGCGTTTTTTATCTTTTAAGATCGAGCCAAAGGCCTCAAGCCAAATGAGCTCCGCCATTTTCAATTCATTTTGGAGAAAGTTCCATGCGGTGGGAGCAGCAAAACTAAACGCTCTTTTTCCGAGCACAGTGCGGACACGAGGCACAGACAGTTTAAAGACATCACAGGAACGCAAGGCGTAGTGGCTTCTGGTTCTTGGAAGGTCTGAACAACACTATTCACTGGAACACAAACAAAGGCCTGTGCTGCGATGAAGTCTCACTGTCTATTGAGTACAGCCATTAGCTGTACTGTGTGTAGAGGCTTTTAACCAGAGCCAGATTACAAGGCAATGCTTTTTTGTAAATGGTTTGAGAGGTATGGGCACATCAATAAATAGAGAAGAGTGATGTATTCATAGTGGAATTCCTTTGGGCATTACATTGAACCACGGCGTGATGGTTCAGAGTTCTTTCAATGGAAGAAGCTTTCTAATGTCTAGTTCAGGCTCAAGGACCTTCATAAATCACTGGTGGGTGGGTGAGTGAGTATATTGTACATTACCTGTTTCTCCTCTTATGGTCTTTTCTATAGCCACTCCTCGCTCTTCTAGATCTCTCTGTTTTTCTGCAACTTCCTCTAGTTGCCTCTGTATGGTCTGGTGGACGCACAAAGTAGATGGTTAATAGTCCACACTTTGATATATCTTTCTCTAAGGTCTCCAGCCGGGACCAGAAAGTGTTGCTATTATCATTAAATTCATTTTCATTGGTTTTGGACAGGGATGTTTGAAAATTCAATTTTTAAAATGTTTTAAACATTTTTTTTATTGACCTTTATGGTATGAGGGTCTTAAGTGAGTGTAACTTAAAACCTGGAGTTAGTAGAAACCATGTGCATAGCTCGATTCTACTAATACGAAAAGAATACTTGATAAAAAAAAAAGATCAAAACAACTCTTGTGCCTATACATTCAATAAAAAGCTAATCAACCTGTTAGCTTAATCTAGTGTGCAAACAACGCTCAGATAGCCTCACCCTATTGTAACTTAAAATCAAACAGGAGGGTGAAGAACATGACTTTGTTAATGAAATAGAAACAACCATCTCCAGTATATTTTCAATGCACTCAGCTTAAAAAACAAATAAACACACTGGAATGATAACAGATTCCTCATTCCAGTCTTTCTTTAGGATGCATTGCAAAAGAAGAAATCGCTATACCACATGTAAAAAGTAGAAAACAAAGCAACATAGTCCCCTAAACGAGGCTTTAATGAGAATATTTGCCTTTATACTAATTCTACATGTAGTCCAACAGATTCACAGAACAACATCCTGATGAACAGATAAACATGATGCAGCCCTTTAATTACATGCACAGAGATCGAAGTGGTCTTGTTCAGACGGTCTATAGACTGACTCCAGTCACAGGATATAAATGTAGGCCTCATGTAGAGGTCGCGTGCAGACACTTTAGCCGGTCACTATATAAACGTCATTCTCTTTTCATTGGCTGAAATTGAAATCTCCAGAGTATATTCGGCCGCGTTCAGACATCAGCTCACTCGGATATTCTGCGGATTAAATACTAGGAGTCTGGAGGAGAAACTCCGGGTAAAGTCTGTGAAAAATGTGTCTGTTTGCATTCACACATAGCCTAAAGAACCTCCGGGTAGACTAATCTCCAGAGTTTTTCAGGAGATTTCCGTATGTGTGAAAAGGGTTTATGTTATGTTTTCGACATCTAAAGTTTGTTCTAGTGTTGTTAACTGTAGTTTCAGTTTCGGTATATTTCATTGTTTTGATGTTCTTGCTGTTTGTTAAGAGTAGTTCTGCATTGATCTTTACAGTCCCTCACTCTTTGAGTCAAGTTTTGTAGCCAAGAGTATCAGATCATTTAGCATTTATACTAACTTCCTGTTGATGCCCTTAGCTTGAACCATTCAGTGAAACATTAGTGTCTTCTTCATAAAGAGGAGTCATTACCTGAGCTCTGTGTAACCTCTTCAGCTGCTCTCTTTTAGCCTGCTGGGCCACCATCTTCTCCTGCTTCCTCCTTAGTCTCTCCGTACACAGCTGGGAAAGGAAGTGTGGAACAATTCAGTAAATGTGCACATATGCAAATACAGCACATGTAAGACTTCCCTGCAGTGTCCAGTGTCTCAGTACGAAGTAATGGTCTGTACCAACCTTCTGATTGGATGTCATGTTTTCGAGTTCATCTTCACTCGAGGAAGGATCTTCCAGGTTCTGTTGACTTGATGCTTCATCAACAAAGGAAGAATTATAGAAAGTGAAGAAAAAACAACAATGTAATCTTTCAACGTAAAAAAACAAACTTACAAAAAACAAAAAAAATTCATTTAATGTGTAATTTAAATAGCAAGTATTATTTAAAGCAACATCATGGAGTAATGGTTTTGTTCGTTTTGTTTCCCCTGAAGGAGTGCAACTACAATGTCTTAAAACACACAAATGTGTATTGACATAACCAGCTTGGCATCTGATTTACAGCCTACTGTTTCATGAAAATCTCACCGACGTGTAAAATGCCTGTCCAATTTATACTCTATAGTCCGGCTTCTTGCTGGGTCACACTCTTTTGTTTTCTCTTCTTAGTTTAATCCTTCACCGTCCACTTCCTCGTAGCCTCAGCTTTTTAGCTAAAGGCTGGTATATACAGTATATATAAATATATAAACTAGGGCTGTAAAGCCAAAGCACTTCATGTGATAGAACCACGGGCTGCTGCCAAAGTTACAAAGAGCTGAAAGCAGGGGATAGACGCTGTTCTCCCTGATCGATTTTGACACAAATATTTTAAGGTGGAAAAGTTACATATTGTTTCTTTAAGCTGTGAATATTTGACAAAAAAAACCCAACATATTCCTGCCTTCTTATTGGTTTGTAAATATGGCAGCTTTTTACATAAACATTGGTTCATATACAGTAAATATAAAATCAGAATCTGTGTAATGTGAACGTGGTCCATTTTATCAATGTACCAACATAAAGTAAAGAGAAAGTTTCCTCAGAAGTTGGTGGACACCAAAATAGAGCATTAGAGTATTATTATTATTATTATAATAGAGTATTATTGCACCTTTATGCATCCACTGGACAGATCGGAACTCTGCTAGCTCTGCTCTGTGTCTGCTAGATATGTCAATCATGGAAGATTGCATCATGTTTCAAAAACCATAAAAGGAAATAAGTCAGTGTTGTGTTTTGCATCACACTGCAATGCCACCAAGTTGCCAAAATAAAAAAAGAAGTAAAAGTGTCAGGATGTGGTCAGTGATGTCTCTGTCCAAGTTGCCAAAACCTTAACATTCAAGTTCACTGCTTTAAAATGTCAAAAAAAAGTGAAGGATTCACTGTCCTTACCTTTGTTACTGAGGTTGGTCAGTATAGTCATAATTTCCTTTTGCACTTCCTGGTCCTGCCCCTCTTTTTCTGACTCCTTACTCTTTTTCAGCCTCAGAGATGAAAACAAGTTGACCCTCTTGCGGGGCAAAGAGGCCATGTCATCGGAGAATACCCCTCCGGAGCTTCTGCGTCCCCTAAGTGAGACACTCTGCAACAGTGATGGCAGGTCCTGCCCCGCCTCCCATGGATTGCCCCCAACAGACGCCAATTGAGATTCACTCTTGTCAGTCTTGTTTTCATCTCTGGATGGCTCTGGACCCACGTTGCTGAAGAGGGAGGTGAGGCCTGCGGCTCCCATTGACATTGGCCTCTGTTTGCGGTTGCCTTCACGTTTGGGCCTGCTGATGAGGAGCAATAAAAAATGTCATTTCAAGAAATTGAATGTAGGTGCTATTTAGTTCATACAAATTCAGTGAAAACAAGCTTTTAAAACAAACATTGGGACTTCATGGTTGGAGCTGCTGGAGGGATTGGCCACACTGAACGTCCTCCTGAAGGCGTTGGCTATAAGCTGGAAGGTGGAGGCTGATGAGGCAGAGGGTTGACTCTGGGGAGCTTGCCCGTCCTGGCTGGAGTCCGTCTGAAGCTTATCTGCTTCTGTCTCTGCTTGAACCTGATAAAACATCAGAGGATAGGAAAAAAATGCAGTCAACATAATGTGGAATTAACTCCTCTTATCTAGCTCACATCACTGTCTTTGCACCACTGTGTTGTACAATTAAGAACAGCAGGAGTGAGAGACAAAGAGCACACCCATTCTTCTTTAGAGAAATGTAAAGCTTCATTAACAAACAACTCACTTGAAGTTCATGTGTGTTTTTGTTGTTTGCATTACTCGTGCTTTCCTCTGGCGCGGCCGGCATGTCCCAGTTGAGAAGCTTCTCTTTCTCAGTTAGAGATAACATCAAGCGTTTCTTTGGGGAGGACGAGTTGCAGACGAGCTCCATTGTGGCTGAGCACTCTCCACTCTTCTCACTTCCCTTGGAGGAATTCTTGGTATCTGCTGTCGTGTCAGAACTGCCATTGTGGTTCTGAGAAAACAGGAATAAATAAACCTTTTTGTACAATCTGTCAATAAACAAATGTATGTAATGGCAAGAAATGATAGAGAGAAAATGACTCGGTGAAGCAGATCATTTTCGTTTAACCCACAGTTTGTTTTTCTGCTGAGGTGATCTCCTCAAAGTCCAGGTCAGCTTCAGGGACGGTCTCAGGTCCAGCTCTGTCCTTGGACCGGCTACTCTGGAAGTGCTTGCTGAAGATCAGAGGGAAGGCTGAATAAGAGCAGAAAGAACATTGATGTGACTGAAAGATTTTGATTTATTTTAAATGTTCATAACATTTAGAGCAGATTCTACATATATATTATACTATATATGTCTATTGTTTTTGTGAAGATTTATGAAAAAGAGTCAAAAAAGTAGTTTGATGTGTTTATCACAGAAACACTGTCATGACTTTAGAGGTGTTCGGTTAGGAGAAAGATAGTGACCTCTAGTGATGTAACTGACATGTTACACACACACACACACACACACACACACACACACACACACACACACACACACACACACACACACACACACACACACACACACACACACACACACACACACACACACACACACACACACACACACACACACACACACACACACACACACACACACGACTAATTACACTAATTACTAAAATCAAAATAATTTCAGACATGTGATTCAGACAAAGCAGATCATGCAAAGTAAAGTGTGGTATCCAGAGAGAAAACGTGTGAAAAAGGTAAGATGAAGATTGGAGAAGCCATGCAAAGAAAAACAATTAAACACGAGGTACCCACTCGCTCTGATCTTGTGTTTCCATCGGTTATTCTGTTTGATGTTAGAAGGACCCTCTGAGATTGAAGACAGAGACCAATACACACCAAGAAAGGCAGACTTCAGGTTTTTTTGGGAGTTTGACCAAATGATCTGTTACATTATAACAGTACAGTGTGTGTTTTCAGGTAAATGCTGACTATGGATCTCCAACAGATCAGATATCAAGTGAAGACAGTGGGTGAGGAAAGAATCAGTGCCTCTGTGAGCCTGTAGCTCAACCAGTGCTTTAAGATACATGTTAACTTTAACCTGTAAATATGCTGATATTCAGAAAATATATATATAAAAAAAACAGTGCCAGTTAAGATCCATAAATGAAGACTTTAATTTGGTGCTAGAGGACACATTAAATATATATATATATATATATATATATATATTTAAAGTGATTATCTTGGTCCATTTTTCACCTGGGTTTAATGTTCCCCTCTGACAAAACAACTGGCCCCAGTTTGGCCCCCCTCAGTAAAAGTGGTCTAGAACCACCACTGGGAGGGAAGATCAGGAGAAAACAAAAGTCCTCATGGTTCATCCTCTGGACACCATGAACATTGGTCCTAAGTTTGATTTCAATTCATACAAATAATATATACAGATATGTTAGAGGACTAATCAACATGGTGAATGGAATTGAGCTTATAAAGAACTTTTCTAGTGTTCTGACTCAAAGTACTCTTTCACCATGTGTCACACCTCATGAACTAACCCCATTCATACGCAGCGGACGAAGCAGCGGGAGCTACTTGGGGTTAAAGTGTCTTGCCGAAGGACACATCAGACATGTGGCTGAAGGAGCTGGGGATCGAACCCCTAATCTTCCATTTGAGAGATGACCGACTCTACCACTTAGCCACAGCCGTCCCTATGCCATCCTACTGCTCACATGAAAAGGTTAGTTCATTTTTACAGTAAATCAGGAGAAGTGTCAAGATAAACAACCTTTGTCACTGAAAGACCGTTTCTATGAGTACAGGGTGAAAACAAAACTAAGGGATCTGATAATCAGGAGATAAATGTACCTAAAGTGGCCTCATTTCAATATATTATTCTTGCTATGCACATTAACAAGTTATTGTCCTTGTTAAATTAAGAAGGAAGTAAAGGCAGATCAAAAGAGTTGGCGGTAGTGTTATCTATCTCATCTATCTCAGCCTTTTTGTGAGCAACTTTAACAAACCTTCTTTATTTATTATTTCAGGATATTGATAGAATTCCCATGTTTTCTCACATCATTATATGATCTTATCTTTAAATCATAAGGTCCAACCATCCATCTATACCATTTTTCCCGTCCGGGGTCACGTAGGGCTGGAGCAGATCCTTCATTGGGCGAGAGGCGGGGTACACACTGGACTATCCACCAGTCAATCACAGAGCGGACATATAGAGACAGACAACCATAAACACTCACATTCACACCTACAGACAATTTTAGAGTCACCAATTAAACTAAAAAACATGTCTTTGGACTCCAGCTTCCTCCCAGGAACCTCCACACAGAGAGACTCCTGTCAGACGAGGATTCAAACCAGGAACCTCCACACAGAGAGACTCCTATCAGACGGGGATTCAAACAGGAACCGCCTCGCTGTGATTCAACAGTGCTAACCACTGCACCACCATGCAGCCCTCTATCACAAAATGCTGATCTGAATATTAGAACTTATCGGTTTCTGTTGTTTTGAGGTTTTTTTCTGATAATTATGAGATAAGTTTCTCTTTTTTTCCTGTCTTTTCTGAAAGCGTTGAGCTTTGGTAGAACACAAAAAAAACATGTCCGTCTGAGAAAGACAGGCCAATGTTTTGAATATCTGGCAAATATTTTTCTAAAAGTCAGACTTGTATAACCCGTACTGACCTTTGGTACTCTCCTGGTCCAGGGCTCCTGTAGTATCCTGAGCTGTGGTTTCTGCTATACAGGAATCATCTAGAGCTTCAACAGCCATCTCTGTGTCTTCAGGAAGTCTTTTTGGTTTATCAAGCTGCTCTGGATGCAAGCTGGTCACCTTGGCTGCAAATAAAAACAGTATTTGGGCAATTAATTTTCACAATCTTTGAATTAATGCTGATATGAATTGCAGTTAAAAAAACAAAAACATGTCATAGCATGTGGCTGATTTCATGCATTATGTCTAACTAGGACTTCAGAACAGGTGAGCAGTTTCTGCACCTTTTCCTATTATATCACCTAAAACAGTTTAACAGTAAGTGAATGGTTGCCTGGTACCAAATATTCCTGTTATGCAGCAAACAGCTAATATACATTTCATAGAGTAAAATCATTCATTAAAAATAAGAACAAGAGAATGACACATGCATACACAAAGATTCAGTAACTCAACAGTAGAATATGAATTTCTATCTGCAACACAAGCACTGATAAAACACAACATATTCAGGACAGTACTCACAGAGTAATGAAGTCAACATTGTACAGAGATGATTCCACTTGGTCAGAGCAAAGAAATGAAAATAAGTAGATGAAACCTTTTAAAACAATATGTCAGCCATTAGATATCCAGTTCTTTTGTCATTGAGACTAAATGGTTCCTATTGAAGATATCACATTGGTTTTGCTAAATGTTATGAGGAGACTTAAGAATAACCACAGGAGGATGAAACCTAACCAATTAAAAAACAGATAGCAAACACAGAGGAAGAGATAGAGCAGACCCACGAGCAGACCCCATGAGGAAGTTTGACAGGAGGAGCTGACGAGTGATTCACTTCAGTTCTGTTCAGGTTGACTAGAGTGGATTTAAATCAGCTCAACAGTGTTTGATTATAACAAGGCTTATTTTGGTTAAATGATTTGCTCTATCTTTAAATTCACATCAATAATTTTTTCTTTCCCAAGTATAACATTTAAAAACCGTCCAATTGTGGGCGAGCTGTTTAAGCCAAACGCTGACTCCCTGCCTTTGCTCCTAAAGGTCGTTGAGCTTCTCATTAGATGTTACAAAGCACGTTATTGTTGGGTTAACGAAAGCTGTGATTGTGAAAATGATTTGTGTGGGTGATGTTATTTCAACTTAGCAAAGGAATAGGGGGGGGAGGATTTGCTTGATGGAGGCAAAAAAAAAGAAAAAAATATCTAAATGCTTTGAAATGTTTCAGTTATTCAGATGATACAGTTGGACTAGTTGGCAACAAACCACGGAGAAGATTTTTCTGTAACAATTTGATTTATTCTTGGATATATATTTACAGCTTATAAATACCATAAATTATGCAATTTTTACAGTGAATTTCATAGCGGAAAAAAATAACAAGGCCTGCAGGCTGCTTAAATATTTGACATAATTAAACGTATGAAACATATCGTATACAGCCAAACATATGTCTATATATCTGGCAGTGTGCAAAAAGCTGCTTTGGCGCTGCGGGTCTCCTGAGCAAAGTCTAGGAGGTGCATGAGAGAGATCTGGAGAGGGGCTCTGAGGGGGGGAGGCCTCCTTCTGAAACAGAGGGAACCACAGACAGACCACAGACAGACCACAGACAGACCACAGACATGTAGACACAGCTGTTACTGTCAGACTGGCCTGAGAGGAAGGGATGCTGCTGATAGTGATGCATCAGAGGGAGGAAATTAATTCAGGGACATTCCGATGGATTTGTGTTGTAAAGGTGGTTATGGAGGAATACAGCACAACAGACGTGTTAGTGGGGTTAGTGCAGCTGTTATGACTACTGAGTAACATGACTCCACCTAAAGATGCTATGTGTGCATCAACGTGTCATTAACCTCTACACTACGTTTCCTTCTGTGAGTGACCAGGTGAGATGCTCACACAAAGCACAGCTGAGGTTAATGGAACGTCATTACTTTGCAGGTAATCGTTCATAAACCAACGTTTTAGACGATGTAAATTCCAACCTTCAAAAGGTGCTACAAAAATATATATTTTTTAAATCTAATGTCTAGTGCGGGGTGGTGATCAGTAAAAACTCATCATTTGGGCCTGATAAAAAAATATATATATATATATATATATATATAAAAAATAAATATTGCAGATTTAACATTTTTTACTTCACACTGGTTGTCCAACTATCAGACTTTGTCTTTCCTTGAGCCACAGCGGTAGCATAGCATAGCAACGGGCAAAGTAGGGAAAAGTATTGAGAAACAGACTGATAAGTGTTAGCTTGAGTCCTAAGTATGGTTAACAGTGTGCAATGTCTTTGTTGATATAAAACAAAAGGATATTTTTTATTAAAAATGTATATGTGAAGATGCAACACATAGCACCTTAAAGAACTCATGAGTTAGTAAATGCTGACTCATGCCAGGTTGTGATTGGTTAATCTGAGTAAAGTGGAGTGGTTGGGAGGGGAGGCGGTGCTACAAAGGTTTTATGACCAAAGCTGGCCAATAGTCATCAACCCTTGCTGGAAGAAAACAGCCAATCAGAGGGTGCAGCATTGGAAACTTAAAACAGACAAAGTCAAATGAAAAAAGAAAATGAATTAGAAGTGTGAAATAAAGATGGAAATGTAAGATGAAAACAAAACAGGGTGCTGAGATTTATAAAGAAATATACACTTACACAAAGCATTGCATTAAGGGACTGTCCCAAAACAGATCAGAGCCTCAACAGTGCCTTTAAGAAATAGATCCTAATTCTGCACAATGAAACCGAGGATCTGAAGCAATTACAGCCAAGATCAAAACAAAAACAATGATCAAAATATACAAAAGAAAAGAATTGCCAAACTTTGTAAAAGTTGGAAATACATTCAGTTACGCAGTTTTTTGGGGGATAAAAGCCTTTTTTATGCAGACTATGTTAAATAATAAAATAGAAAGAGAGGGGTAAACTGCATCAAAAGACTAAAGCTCTTATTGTTTCTGGATGATTTTCATCAACATATCTCAGATTTGATCAAAAAGGCAAAGATCGGTTCAAAATAAAATCATTTCCCCCTGTAAACAAAAGACATTTACTGGATAACTAGTCCTCTTTATATTTTTATATGGAGTACTGGTTGTGACAAGCAGAGCCCAGGAATTATTCCATCAACACAAAGAAAAGAGAAAAATGAATAAATAATATTCTGTTATTAAGAAGTCAAAATCAAATTACAAAACAAAATGAAAAACTAAAAAACATCAATTGAAGTTCAATAAAAAAAATACTGATCAAATTAAATCACAAAAAAATAACACTGTTTTGGCATTTCCAATGCATCTCTGAGGTGCAGAGTTAAGGTGCAGCAGGCAGAATGCAGAGTCAGTGCAACATCAACATTATGATTCAATAAACAACTCCTGTCAATAAAACCTTTCTGTCCTGTTGGTTTAAAGGGAAGTGCCCTCGTACAGTCACACTTTCTGCAGTGCAGATAGGAGAGTTACAATCTGACAGGAAGAGATTTCAGATTAAAACAAGATGCGAGGGTCAAGTCAGAGTTGCTTTGCTGCTTTTCATTGATGTTCCAACCTGAGAGCACACTCATGTATCATTTATAAATACTCTTCAGAGTCAGAGCCCATATGACAATTTGCTCTTAATGAATTTTTGTTATAATTGCCGGAAAAATTCACACCAGGCAATACATAAACAGGTGCAAACAAATCAAGCAAAGCACATTTTTGTCTACTTATTATTTGCTTCATTAAAAGTACCTTTGAACTTAAAAGACACAAAACTAAAACGAAACTTAGAATTTGGGAAGCAGAGATATTATTTGGTTTGAAAGGACAATGTTTCTGAACACCTGATTTATCTGTTTTGGGCACTACAAGCTCAAAAGTATAAATAAACTGATGTTCCTATTGGGTCAGCTGGCCCAGACAAGCCCACTGTAACTCCCTTTCTCATGATGGTTGGTGGCCAATGGGTGGCTACAGGGCCAGCTGTTGCTCCTGGTACATCTGTCCCAGAACCTCGTGCATCATGCAAAGAAGAGGACAGCCCAGGCTCAGGAGCTCATACAGGAACATGAAGTCTTGTGAGTAGCTCCTCATGTAGGCGCCCATAGCTGTGAATGACTCACACACACTTTCAAACAGCTGTCCAGGCAACACACACACGGCCCGGCTAGCACGCCTTGGCCAGCTCAGGCCTCGCCTTAGCAAGGAAACCAGGGTACCTGAGGGCTGAATCTGGACGCTGCCAATCACTGAGTAGCTCCCACTGGCCAGAGGCGAGGGTTTGACACGGCTTTGGTCTTCCTACAATAACGAAGAGCAACAGAAGGAACAAAAAAAATCAAACACAACCTATCCTTCTATCAAACATCAAAGGAAAAAGTACATTAGAGGCATGTCAAAGTGGATAATCAAACGTGTCGACAGGAAAGGTGTTTAAAAAGTAAGTAAAAATGTTTTTTGTAATTTTCATAATTTTTTATTTGGACACATTTTTCATAAGTAACAATAATGACAATAAAAAATACAGTGCTGTAGTTTTTAGAATTGATAAGACACCTTTCATGTTGAGCTTTTATGAATATGTACAGTCAGGGGTCAGGGATGATCCTGATGACTGTTTGAAGAAGCAACCAACCGAAGTGTTGCTTTCAAACAACAAAAAAACTGATGAAGGCTGCAAGGGTCATCCAAAACCCTGATGAAGACCACAAGCTGAAACACTTGGGTCTAATAAAGTTCATAAAGATGATCTTCATACTATAAGTGCTGCTGGAGCTTTATGACGTCATCAAGCTTTATGACTATCTAGAGGAAGTAAAAGTCGTAACAAGGTTTCCGTAGGTGAACCTGCGGAAGGATCATTACCGGTTTGAGATCCCCGCACCCGAGGCCGCGTGGCCCCTCGGTGCTGGCGGCGGATATGTCAGAAAAAACATTTGTTTAGACAAATGTTTTTTCTGACATATCCGCCGCCAGCACCGAGGGGCCACGCGGCCTCGGGTGCAGGGATCTCAAACTCACTCTCTATGCACCTTGGTAGTTGGTTGTGCCAGAAAACCCAACTCTGCTTTCTCTGTGCTTTCAGAGTTTTCAGAGTCCTATCTTCACTTTGTTTACATCGCCCGGACGGCCGGCTGACAACTCCCCTCATGTATAAAAGTTGTTTAATTGAGGGACTAGAGAAAAGAAGAATAACATACTGTACTCACTGCTTAACTGTGTTTCTAGATCACGCTCATTTCAGGTAAATTTACATGCAGTGTGAAGATACGAGCATAATAATGATCGCTAGCATTAGCATGCTAACACAACAATGCAGCGTGAGTTGTTTTGGTTTCATGCTGGTGCTCAAGGGCGACATCTGCTGGATCAAAAAAATCACATATAAAGCCTTTAAAGCATTCCTAACCAATCTGGGTAAATCCCATGTTTTTGTCTTCCTCATCATTAACAAAGCATATAGAGCTAAAGTGTGTTAACACAACAATGTAAATGAAAACTGATGAGGCCTGTTGGGACATTTGGATATCACTTTTCTATAATAGTTTTGAGACACTTCTCACCTCCCTCTGAAGAATTCTTGGTATTAGGTTAAGATGACATTAGAGTGAAAAAAATAACCATCAGTCTTTGGTGATTTCCTAAATCAAACTTGAAGAGGAGCCCGTAGAGCTTCTTCTTCACATGTTTAAGACAGGCCATCAATTGCACTTTGTGGCAAACCAGAAAGTACCATTTTTGAACGGTAGCTTCTAAACCTTGAAAGAAGATGACATTTTTTGACTCTGGATTTCATGGATCAGGACAGACTCCCGAGAATTCAGTTAATTCAACAAGGATAGGATCCTACCATTCTCATGACAAGTCTGTGGTCATTAAGGAAGTAGTACTTAGCATACAGGTGCCTTGAAATATGGACTTGAGCTTGTATAGCACCTTTCTAGTCTACTGACTACTCAAAGTGCTTTTACACCACAGGTCACACCTACACATTCACACACTGATGGTAGAGGCTGCTATGATAAGTGTCCATAAGTATTAACTCATTCCATTTCCAATATCTAAACAGTCAACACATAGCATCACAATGGCACCTTTCCATCCGACTTGTGAACAGAGTAGATTAAATAAATACTTAGGTTTTGTTTTGGAGAAAGATGTTTGTAAAGGTCAATCCCATTTGCACTTCAAGATATTTGGTAACATTTGAAACTCAGACCCTTTTCACTTGAACTGCTCTCAGCTGTAGATTTTTTGCTAGACAATCATTTTCTGAGTAGCAGCAGAACAGAACATCTTGTAGCAGGTAAACAACAGAAAGTGAAAAAAGAAGTGGCAGCATTCTTTAGACGGAGACTGGTAGGTTAACTTTAAAAACAAGCATTTTCCTTTTCCTTGTTTAAAAAGATATATATTTTGTAAACAGAGCATTGAGAAATGGGTCTTTGCTTACCATTCTCCTTCTGAATCTCCCCGTGTTGGTGCTGGTTTGATGCTGGGCATAGTGCATCTTGCAGTAGAACTTCCCTACAAAGGAAGCACACAAAAATCAAAAATCCACTCAGCTTACTCTAACAATATAACATTCACATGATTAGAAAAAAGTGAACCTTTTAAACAAAAACACAGGAGTTTGACATCCACAACAGATTAATGACATCAGTTAAGTCAGGTTTCTAGTGTTTCATTGGACAAATTTATCAAACCACATCGGGCAAACAATATCCTCAAGTACCATTTTAATTTGTCTAAAGTGTCCAGAGTAACAGTGAGTGAGACATACCCTCCTGTGAATCAAAGGTGTGCCCTCCAAGCCGGAGGGTGCAGTTGCAGACATCACAACGGAAACACTCTCTGTGAAAGAAGTAACCCTCAGCGCTCAGCCTCTCCATCACGTACACCCGCTTGGTGCAGAAGTGGCAAATGTCACTGCCACCAAGGCCGGGAGGGAAATCCTTACGCACCACGCACTAAAGGAAAGAAGAGCAGAGAAAGCTCAGGGAGGGGAAACATACTGCTTTAAGGGATGAGGATTTGTCCTAACGAACACCTGCAGAAATACACTTAAAGCAAGTTAGTCCCGTGATTCAGCGGAGAGATAAACACTTTTAAAAGCAGTTGCAACCGTTATAGCTGCCAGGAAATTAACAAAGTTATAGTGCAAGTGATTTTCAGATTGTTTAATGAATGGTGCAATCTGCAATTTAAAAGAATTAAAGTCAAGCTGACGAGTTACAGCAATAACACCAAACGAGCTATAATCCATACCATGAGAGGTACTGACATCAGAGTTAAAGACCCAGGAGAATCAGCCATGTTATTAATTTAATTGTTCATGGATACATATGCAACTGTAAAGGGTCCATGCCAGGCCAGAGTCTGCTCAAGGTCAAGGTCTCAAAGATGAAGTTTTTTATTTTGAAATATATGTCTTGGATGGATGAAACGAGCGATACCACACATACCGGCTAAATTCCCGGGGGTCTTGTCGTCGTTATGAACGTTTTCGGCAGAAATTACACAAGCTAATTATTCTTGTTTAATCACAACTTTTCATTCCTTCATGAATTACACATGCAGAATCGTTCAGCAATAAAAACATTTAGTCCATTTCTCAGAAGGTGGTATTAAACCTTTGAGACAAAAAAGTCTCCTGTCAAATTCCAAAGTGTAAATAAACATCAACAAGCTTCCAATCTGAAGTGAGTGAGTGAGATGCAGAACCTCAAATGAGGCCAGGTAAAAATATACTTATGTTAACATGTAATATGGACTTGAGCTTGTAAAGCGCCTTTCTAGTCTTCTGACTACTCAAAGTGCTTTCACACAGCGGGTCGAGCTTACTCATTCACACCCATTTATACACCGATAGCAGCTGCTTCCATTAACTAATCCATTCACACACCACTGATGAAGCAGCAGGAACAATTTAGGGTTTAGGTGTCTTGCACAAGGACACATCAGACATGTGTCTGCATATGGAACACATTCACAGATCTCTTATTTAAGGGTTAAAATTATAACAAATGTGTTGTGTTTGAAATAATCCACTTCTAGCTTTTTTTTTAAATTTGCAGGAGCAGGGGATCGAACCCCAAACCTGAGAGGTGACTGACTCTTCCACTGACCACAGCCACCCACTAACTATCAAGTCCCATGTCACTTAAACCCTTCTCATGTGTCAGTTTGATCTCTCCAGCATTGTGTTAAGCATTGGTTAAGCAAAACTTTAAGTGAATCATAGACTTGCAGGTCCATGCCATCAGCTTCTTTATGTACCAGAACGCATTGCAAAGCAGCCACTGCCTTCCTCTGCTGCTCAGCACCGCTGCCAGGAACTTTGGCTCCAATAAGGTTGAAAGTTGGTAAGAATTTCCTTTTGAAGTTTTTTTAAAAGCAAAATCTGCAGACAGGTATGTGGAAAAACAACTCTAAATACACTAGCTTCTTTGTAGCCTTGACAACATAAAGGCAAAGCACAACCCATTTACCACTTGAGCCTTAACACCTCCGTGGTGTGTTAGAGCCTGAAAAGGCACATTAACTGTTGTTAAAGCAGGGAGAAGCAAGGAGGCATTCTTTATCTTTTAGATGTAAACACTGGGTTAGACTTGTGTTTGACACTCCACATGCGTCTTACCGGAGTGGCATTGGGCCTGTGGTCCGTCTCATAAAGGACGGCCAGCAGCTGAGCTTTAGCATCTATGGCCGATGATACCTTTCCAACTGTACGCTAACGTTAACACCAGGGCAGACACAGAGGGAGAAAAACAGAGGGAATGGGAAAGAGAGGAATTAGAGAGAGGACAGGATGAAAGGGCTTTAAAAACATGATCTACTTTATGAAACAGTATTAACTGGTACCTCTTTCATGTAACTAGGAGCTCCAGTCGGACAACTCTCAGAGCGATTTATTGACTTATGAGACAACCTTGTTGGGCTCTCAAGAGCGCAGCTCCCACTGGGCTAAGTGAACACCAGAATGCACATCACTCAGATGAGGATAGGCAATTCTTAAATGTACATAAATAGATGAATATTCAACAATACTTTTTTTCCTTAAGATTTAGGAATGTATAGTTTTTAATCTAAGGAACAAATATTACATATGAAAATGAAAGATGAGTCAGAAGCTGTTCTCATGAAAAGGCTCCATTAAACTTTAAATCTTTTCAAAATCAGACATCAGAGATATTATCTTCATTCAAAGAAGCTTGCTTTTGAATTTCTAAAGTGAGGTTAATTTTGTTGTTGGCTGCTTAAATTTGGAAGAACAAACTAATTTACACAAATACATTGGCATCAAGACATGAACATGATGTTTGGGATAGCATTGGGCTAGTAAACAGAATGGCTTGCTGTAACTGGAGATCTGCAAGTTATCATTTCTGGATAAACATGAGGAAACTGTTACCTTCATGTGATCATCCTCAGCTAATTTCTTATTGTCAAATGTCTCCTGAGCAGCTCTGTGAATCTTCTGCTTGTTTCGAGAGATTTCATTTGTCCTCTCCAAATGTTCATTGTGCACAGCAGTTCTACTGTTTCTATCAGAGAGGGGGGGCGAGGAGGTTTCATCAAAGCAAGCTGAGGTAAGTGCAGCAGGTGTTTTGTTGTTGTATGCTGAGGACTCAACATGAAGAGAAGACATGTGATCTGTTCTTTTAGAGACAGAGAAGGTTGAAGGGGGAGAGGAGTCTTTGTGCTTCTTGTGTCCTGCAGTGTGCAAGCGGACAGAGGAGAAACCAGCCTGAGCAGTGGGGTCAGGGACAGGATGGACGAGGGGGTAGGCACTGGAGCTCTTGGAGAAAGAGGCAGAAGGAGAAGGATCAGGGGACAATGTAGGAGAGGCGATAGAGGGTTCCACCTACAGAAGAGGAGTCAGAAGGATGAAAGTGAAGAGTAAATGAATAGATATCAGATGGAAGTTGATTTCACACAGAGACAGCAGACTAGTTCACTTTTATTCTCCAAGGTTAACTGTTCTTAAAAGTAAATTAGAAATTAAAAGTGTGTTAGTGAATACCAAGCTGTTAACAGAAACAAAGTAAAGGCCCTATAAAACAGCTTCTCTGTATATCTGCTTTAATAAAACCACTTCTAATCACACTTTGGACATTTTGGGTTATTTAAAGAGAGACTTGTTTTTACACTTTGAGCTGTTCTGAATCACTGGCTTCAGCAGGAAAAAGTCAAATCAAGCATTACTGTGAACCAATCAGATAGGCGATGTTTAATAGGAAGTGAGTTAAGTTGTAGTATTAATTGTACATGTTGCCAGCTGTCAATCATAATGGTTCAAGCCACCACCGTCAGCATACAAACCACACAAGGTTAGTGTTTACTGGAGTATTTGAATTTTTAAGTAATGCATGTTAGGTTGCCTGCTGACAACTGGCCGGGGACTACAGCTGGAAATTATCCACACAAGCTAAATCTGCTCCTTTTACTGTATAGTTAATTAAAGGGGTCTGTCCATGAAACAATAAACAAATAAACTCAACTAAGATCTTGAACATAGTTCACTCAAACAATGAATTTGCAATAACAACAAGAAGGGATGCAACACATTCACCTCCCCATGTGCTACGTATCACAAAACTGGCTTCCTGATAGGATTTAATCACGTTTTCATTAAGAAGTGTTACCCAATAGAAGTCTATTTATTAATTCTGATGATAAAAACCTGTTTTGCTTGACAAGTATTTCTGAGGTTGTGTAGTTACTAATACAACACTGCACTTTATTTAGATCAGTGACTCTGATCATGTCCAACAAAACCACCAGTACACTTCACCCTGCATATTTTTCATGTCTCTCCAGTATCTCGATATAGCCACATTTGACATGTTGCATCATGTCCGTTGTGCTTCTTGTGTAGTTTATCAGTCACATACATTAATGCACACTGCGTCTGTCATATGGTCACCTCATCTACACCCCACTATAGGAAACAAGACAGAGCTTTCACCACAACCAAATCTTCACTCGCTTTCTGCGACGTTTGAGCACCTTACTTCTTCAACTACTGATGTTGTACAAGAGAAGCCAAAAGCAGATAGTGCCCTCTGCTGGTTAAAAGGAGTATAGCAAAAATATTTATTTGTATTATTGATTTAAACTGTCCACATCTGTATCCACTTTCATTTACTAAAACCAGGTTATATGCAGAAATGTTTTGGTAACAAATCAGGGTAATGACAATAAAGAAAATGTACATGCAGAGTGAGGAAACAATAAGTCCCTTAATTTAGAGAAGTCATTAAAAATCATACAATTAAACATCTTTCAATTTGAAAATCAAGGATACTGTAGATATTAATGCTGGAATATTAAAATATAGCTCTACTCATATTGATTCTGCATCTTTTACATGTGGAACCAACTCCACTGTTAGTGCCTTTTTTCCTGATGCGATGTTGTCTTTGTTAGCATACAGTTAACTCAAATTTGACAAAAGCAAAGCATGAAAAAGTGTTTGGTGCAATACACCACCTGTGATTCAGGTAGAGGAGACAGAGAAGCAGAAGGAGCTTTTTTAGAGCCCGTAAACATGGAGGAGAGGAGGACGGCTCTGTCTTTTATACTCTGTCCAGAATACTCTCTTGTAGTCAGTCTCTTGTCTTTACTCTGCATGTTGCAGAAGAGAACATGAATTTAGCTGAAACTCCCCCAAAAAAGTCAAGTTGTTGTGAAAATGTCGTGCACATCTGATAAGAAATTCACCTGCTGCAGTGACTCCTCTGACCTGACCGAGGAATGATCATTATCCCAAGCAGAAGAAAGCTGACTGTTTCTCTGGCGAGGAGAGGTGCATTCTGGGATGTAATGCTTAGTTACTTTACGGCTCGGTGAACGGAAGGACCTAATGGGCTCTCAGAGCGTGAGGGTGAAGGAGAGCGACTGTAGTTGCCCTGAGAAGGAGAGCATTTAGGGGTACAGAGGAAACTGGTTTCCTGAGCCACAGCACTGGGATTCTCCAGTAAGCGAAGGTAGATGGAAGGCTGGAAACAGGAGAGGAGGAGGAAATAGAGGTTTTTAACTATTACACTAACAATTCACAGTGTTTATAATATCTACCTAAATAAAACTCGCAGCTTATTTTACAAAAGTGAAAAAACAGAGGACACAGCTTAGGTTTCAAACTGAATAAGTACGAGAGCTGCACATGGCTGTTAATCGAATACAGAACTCATCCAGTCACACTCACAACAAGTGCTCAGACGTGTTCGGAGGGAGGCATACCTGCCACTTTGGGCGAGTGGGAGGCAGGGGAGGAGGAGGGGGGACTTCCTTTGGTTTCGCAAAACGGGGGTTTTGTCGGTCCTCCTCCTCATCCTCCTCCTCAGAGAGAGGAAGTGGAGGTGGAGTGGTGGAAGGGGACTCAGAAGGATAGAAAGAGGGATCAGATGGGTCCTCATCAGACTGACGCAGGAAAGGAGGGAAAAGTGAGAGGAAAGGAGAGGGAAAGAATTGAAGTTTAGGAAAAGTTTAAAAGATGCCAAAGACATTATTTGGAGAAAGTATTCAGCACATGTTTCAATCAGGATGTTTGATGAAAGTGGCACAGTATACAAAGAAAAGATAAGAGAGGTGTATTTTCAGTGTGAGATTACATTAAATGAAGAGATTGGAGATGTTATTATCATTATATTATTATTGTTATCATAAATATAAATGCTTGTAATGGATTCTGAAATATTTAGTCATGAGAGGGTTAAAGACCCACACCTGCATGCAGGGTGATTTTGAATTATAACATCAAGCTCACTTCTGAATGGAACATGGAGGAAAGTGAAAGACATTACAATGTTGATTATATAAGAAATAACCCATGAGAAACTTTTAAGAAATGTAAAAGCAGCTAAATTTAAATCATTATTATTTAACCTGTTTCACATTTTGAGTTTGTTGTGCTCTGAAATCCTGTTTTCTTACATTTTCTTTGAATTGATAAAAAATTATTGGACTTCAAATTAAATTCAAGTAAAAGTCAGAAGATAGAATTGTTCATATTTGAGTGGTGAAATGCAAAATGTTTCAACAATTGAGGATCAGGAATCAATCTGCTCTCTGTTCTATCAGATGATGCCCTGCAAATCATTTAATGCAGGTGAAAGGTGAACTCTGAGGGACATAAGTGATGATATTTATCTTGTATTTTTCAGCTACAAAAAGATTAACTCAAAGCTCATACATTCAGTAATGTACTAATAACATTAAGTAATAATTAGCTCAATATTTAAGTCATTACACCTTTAAATACTTTAATATCTGAAACCCAAGTTCATCTCCAGTGGGTCTGGACCATCAATGGCTGTCAGAGTTTTTTTCTGTCTCTCACCTTGTTGCTCGTCTTTCCTGTCGAGTTCTCCTCAAACTTAGCCAACAGCTGAGTTGCCATGGAGCGGACCTTGTTCTCACGCAGCTCTCCATCCTCACCAGCAGGTGGGGCACTGTGACAAGACAGCTGACGCCATGCAAGGGACGTGGAGGGATTAGAGAAGAAAGAAGAGCAGTATGGAGAAATAAAGTCACTTAATATTCAGCAAAATCTGGAAAACATCAAACATTGAAATTCCACTCTAACTGCACCTCTGTGAGGTAGTGGTTGCCTTTCCGCCGTCTCTTGTGAACTGAATCTTCCTCCAGCTTCTTGTCGTCCTGTGATAGTGGATTCAATCAACATTCATTTACAACAACAAGATGTCTATCTGAATCATGCTGACACAAACAGAGAGGAAGTGAAGTTTGGATAAGTGTTAATGTTTATCAAAACAGAAAACTATGATACACTGTTCGCATGAGTAGCCTAGTCATGAAGAAAGCCTCTATATCTGTGAATGATTAGATTCATTATAACAATGCCATGATGTCGGTGTAAGATTTCACTTATGGTAACATAAATTCACTGATCATCTTTCTCAGAGAAAGAGACCAACAGAAAGTGCAGAATTCCAACTCTGACTGTGTTGTGTTACCCTGGGTATCCTCTTCCTGGGCTGAGCCTGCTTCTTATTTGATTTAGCTGGATATTCCTCGCTGTTCTCATCTGGTTGCCTTGAACCTGGAACATAAACACAGATTTCTCAATTATATTTATAGAAATGTAGATCAACAAGGATTTCATCTGATACAATGACACTGAACAAAACGTTTTTCACAAGGATGCATTTGAAGTTAAAGCCTTCAGAGACAGGATTTCCATTTATGAACAATCAGAGGCAAGAAATCATCTGAGGTGTAAATTATCATCATTCAATTAAAAACACTTGTTGAATGTTTAAAAGGTGACTTTTTGTGGTGACTTTTCTCAATGTTCATTTCACATCAATATCAATCTGTCTATTCTGGTTATTCTGCCATTTCTTTATAATACATGAAGAAATGACAGCTTGTAAATGTACACATGCTAACTATGAGTGTCATGTGTACCAAGATTTTTTCAAATTAGGTACAGGCAAAAAAATACACATAACATTACAACAAAGAGTAAGATGACTTTAAAATAAGACCTCAGACTTATAAACAACAACAAAAGACACGGTAAGTAAACTTAAAATCAACAAGACTTATCTTCATATATACATCGAGTAGAGTGTATCTTGGGTCCTTTTTATTCTACTCGTCACAAGAGCTAAATTTGATTTCCATTTACATGTTGCTACTTTATTCGTTTGCAGCATTTTTCCCCAGAAGAAAATTATGTTTTAATGTTTTTCTAACAAAAACTTAGATTCAGGTGAACTCTTGATTGAGTTTAAATTTAAATACTTTAACCAGGAGAATGAAAGCATTTAGTCAAATTTAAATGGCAAATAGAAATGAGCTTGTATATTTATTTTCTAGTCTTCTGACTACTCAAGCTCTTTTACACCGCATGTCACATCTACACATTCACACACTGATGGTAAAGGCTGCTGAGTAAAGAGTCCATCAGTATTAACTTATCCATTATTACACATTTATACGCCACTGACAAATCAGCAGAAATATATCAATATATTGTGAAAATATCACAAGCGTAAACTTCCTTTTTCATCCAGAACCATCCATTCTCCACCTCCACTGCAGTCCTCGAGTTTCATACTGAGGCACATGGTTTCAAACTCTACTGAATCACTTTACAATAAGAGACTGGACTGCGCTAACAGAACATACTTCAACTATCCATCACTTTTCTTTAAAATCAAGGCTGCTTAAAAGATTGTAGATGAGGACTAATATGTCCTGGGCTGAAAGGGATTTTCATTTTGGAGTTTTTGGCAGTTTCCCCACATAACTTGGACTGTTTTAAATGTAATGTTGATCCACTTATGAGCTATTATTAATAGAAATTTGTTCCAACCCTCATGTGTGAGTGTGGTTTAAAAATGATACCACTCTGAATCTCTGGTTTAAAGATAATGGCATTATATTTTCTATTAAAACACTTTTAGCTTCTAAATAAATGCCTACAGACTTGCATACAAACCGCCAATTCCCTCTGGACACCAATAAAATGTAACTGAAGGAGTGTCTACATGAGAACAGCAGGCATGGATAGAGAGATGAACCATCAGTACACTGAAGGGGGGGTTCATCCTCGTAATCGTACATTTAAAAAAAACTGACCAGAAACCCCTTCTGCAGCTTTGGATAACAATATAAGATTCCTTAAGACAATTTAGGTAAAATAAAATACACTAGTAAACTCATTAAGCAGATGTTTTCCCAATCATATAAATAATCTCCTAATTTGTACAGAAGTACAATGTCAACAAATGGGCTGTAAAAATGTCTCTCTTTAGGTGAATCACTTTCCCAGCCTTTCAGAGGTGTGGATTGCTCCATAGTGACAGCAGTGTGGGCGACACAGACGTTCACAGGAGCTGAGAACCTCCACAGTCCCATGGAGTGATTGGATATGGCTTCCACAGACATAGTACACATACCAGTCATGACTCTGGCAGGGACTAACCTGACCACGGTTGTGTAACGTGCAACTCGAGCTCACCCAAAGGATAAAATAGTCCCTGAGCCTCAGGGATTCTTATTTCAAAAATGACTTGCTGTAGAGTTTTTGAAGAAGAGTCTGAATGATGATCCCTCTCTGTTTGGTTAAAAAAAACATGACATCCTGTTTTTACATCTTTCATGGTTAGGTATAGTGTTACACATGTTAGGCGGTTAGGGTGAAAATTGCATCCACTCAAATGGAGTTGCCTTTTTTCTGTTTGTTAGTATTCTATATAACTGGACTTTTTCATAAACTGGAGTACATTTGTAAACTGATCACTTCCTCTTTGGGAAACAGGGTTAGGAAGTCAGAGGAGGCATTTACCCACTACACTGTATCACATTTAAGACCATAATTTATGGTATATAGTGCTGTTGTGTTGCTGTTGTGTCTCCTGTACATTTAGATTCAAAGATTTACTGAAGGCTGATGTTACATTCATCAAGAAGGAGAACAAGCTCTCTTTAGTTGATCGTTGAGTCTGTCAAACTGTTTGAGTTAGTCCTGAGAATTCACAGGTATGACGGCCACAGGATTAGACTCTAAACAACAGGACACCACCCACTCAATTAACTACTGAACATCATGGACTGCGTATTGCCATGCCAAAAGTTACCTGACCTGCAAAAGTTAGGATGCCAGAAAAGAAAGACAGCTAGGGCATTTGACCCCAACAAATAACCTGCTTTTCAGTCAGCTCCAAAGCTGATCCAAGCCAGGCTGAGGAGGCTAATGTTAGCCAGGAGGCTAATGTTAGCCAGGAGGCTGGAGCTAACGCTGCTGATCCAACACACATCTGTGGATATTATTGAAAGACATCCATGAGTCTTTCAGGGGCCCAGTCATCTTGTGGGTGGGCCTGCTACTAATACTACATTTGAATTCAGTTTTCACACTGAAGCAGGAAGAAACCTTACCGTTGTTGTTTCCTGTGGTGTTCCTGAAAGTCTCGTAGAACTTGGAGAGGTAGAGAACCATCAGCAGCTTGTCTGGTTCGGCCTCTGCAGCCATCTCCTTTCCCCTCGTCACTGGCTGGATGCCAAACTCCCGCTCGGCCACGTCAAACGCCAACTGGTTGTTCTCTGCCATGTCCTCCTCGTTCAGAGAGTCAAAGTCACTGAGGACAAACCAAAGGCAGGGAAGGTTAGCCTACATGCTCATGAGGTTTCTTGAAACATCATCATAGAAAACACCCTTGCACACTCATTTCATGAGGCAGGTGCGTAGAAGAGCAATGTGTCCATCAAAACTAAAGGTAAACACCCACACACTGTCTATCACTGTCTGCAAACAAACATTTATTATGTCTGTTACGTTTGTTTGCAAGTTAGACGGTGTGCGGGAGTTTAGCTTTAAGTCTTGAAACAGCTTCAACCTTCCTGCTGGATGGTAATGTGTGGTCAGGTGAGGAGGAAAACTGCAGGTGGATTCTGATTTACATGACCTAGTTTGTTTTTATTCAGTAAGTGATTAAGTATGCTAAAGAAAAGAGAAATTCAGGTTGTTACAAAAATGTCCCACAATGCTTTTGCACTACAGAGAAAAATCTTCTTACTGGCATGACGATCACAAGACAAAAAGTCTCCCGACATAATCGTACACATGAAAGGCTGACCATATGACCACAGAATAACAGAACAATGAGTACTTGTTATGTTAAAGGCTTTCTATGTGATTTTTCACACTTAAATATAATATAAATCAAGTATCTCCTCTGAAAATAACTCTGTGAGTCATGACTGTCTACAATGGGTGTAACACCCGAGTCCCACTGTCTGTGATGTTTTCAGAGTCCCTATCTTCACTTTGTTTACATCGTCGGGCCGGCCGGCTGACTCCTCCCCTCGTGTATAAAAGTTGTTTAATTGAGGGACTAGAGAAAAGAAGAATAACATACTGTACTCACTGCTTAACTGTGTTTCTAGATCACGCTCATTTCAGGTAATTTACATGCAGTGTGAAGATACGAGCATCATAAAGATCGCTAGCATTAGCATGCTAACACAACAATACAGAGCGAGTTGTTTTGGTTTCATGCTGGTGCTCAAGGGCGACATCTGCTGGATCAAAAAAATCACATATAAAGCCTTTAACTTTTACAAAAAAAAAAAAAAAAAAAATTACCCAATGATTTTGGAATTGAACTAGCATATTTGTGATCAATATGTATATTGACATTGAGAAAATGACACTGTTGGAAAGTGATTACAGGGGAGAACCTACAGAGCAGCCTCCCCTTCATCTGCAGCTCGTCTTAGCTTACAGACCCTGAAAGTGTTTGTCAGCACATATTGTAGCTCCTGGCACAGAGTGTCAGTGCAGCGGAGGATCAAAATGGTTCAGCACTAATCGATGATCTTCATAGTGAGCCTTGAATGAGTTTCCAAAGGACCAATATGAATTTGTGAGTGAGTGTGAGTGAGCTAATAAGATTGGACCCTGGTGAGAAGGCACTTTGAATTACAGCCTCCGACATCACAGTTTCAATGTGTTGTGAATGTTGACACGTTAAGTGAAGCACTCTGAAGACTTGAAAGGCTTCATATAAATGACTTTTACTGTTTCAGATCACTTTAGGGCTTCTGAATTGTTTGCCAACATTGCAGGGACTTTATGGGCTTTACTCTTTTCTATTTTCTTGGGATTATTTCAGAGGTAAGTTGTCTTTTATTGGACGGGTTATTTCTGAGAGTTCAGAGATATGGACAGGATTTTGGGGGGTTAATCTTGAAAGACTTGCAACAACAGTTGAACAAACCAGGGTTGGGTTGTTTTATAGATTGTGCTTCAAACACTTTGCTGTCCCCCTCCCCCTGCCCTATTCTATTTACAGTTTTATTTTCTTATTATTAGTATTCTTTTTTCTTTCTAAATCTTAAATTAATTATCTTTTTTCTCTTTGTACCTTTTTTTGGGATTTTTATTTATTTTATTTTATTTCATGTTGTATGTATTCTTGTATGTTTAAAATATTAATGTAGTAAAACAGCCTGCAATAAAGTATTTAAAAAAACACTTTGCTGTCAAGGTTTACTAACTCTAAAAACCTGCTACACTGAACCCGTTCAGCACAAAGTGACAGATAGCAGCAACAAGTTGCTAAACAGAGAGTTTTTCATTGAAAAGCCAGAAAGTTGTTTTTGAAAAAAAATAAAAATGTTGACTGCATCCCAATTGCACTGAATGTCTTGAACTTGCTTCAATGAAAAAAAAAAATATATATATATATATATATATATAAATAAAAAGAAAAGCCATATAGTTGAAGGGATCACAAAAACAACTCTCTCCCCCCCCTCCAAAAAAAAACTCTTCATCGAAGATCAAAATGTTTGTGCCAATTCCATATGAATTGAAACAGGTATTTGAATGGCCATAAGATATTTGATTTTAAAACTAGTAGCAGACTGGTGGACTGACCACCCATACTAAGAGTCAATGTACTCATCATAGCTAAAAAGTATACAAAATCAAATCATACGTCATCTCTGTATGAGTACAGATTATGTTATATATAAGAGAACATAACAACCTGCAACAACAAAGAGGTCAGTGAAGTATGTTTGAGTCCGTTAAATAAGCTCTCTCAAAGTAATGATGTCATTCCCATCAATCATGTCGACATTTTGATTTGCTGTCTCACTTGTGTCTGACTGGCTCAAGTAGGTCAGTGTGGACTGTTTGACATCCTGTTTTTGAAAGCGATGACTCAGCTGTTAGATTCATCACAATCACTCTGGTGTATGTGTCAGCTTTTCACAGGAAACTTGGAACAAAACTGTGATGCACTCGTTTGTTAAAGATGGTGATACCATCTTGTATATCCAGCACAAAAGTCTGCTTCTAGAAAAGAAAAAGAAAACAATATGAAATCCACCATACTGCCTACAGTGGTGTGATAAAATAAAGTGCTGGACATCACCACAAGGCCATTAAATTCATACTGAGATGGCTATTACACTCACCACTCTGAGTTCTATGTTATCACTGACATCTAAAGGGCTTTAAAATACTTATGACTTAACCTTTAAGGATTCAGGATACTTAACACCCTATCACACAACTGATTGGCTTTAAAAGTTCCTCCAACACACTCTGACCCGAGGAAGACTGGAGTCCTGTGATATGTATCTTACAACTGGAATGATCAAAAATATAGCTAGCATTCTTCTTCTTTTCTTGCTTTTATTTCATTTAATTAATTTGGTAATATATGTGTGAGTGACTCAGTGTTAATCTGCTTAAGGACAATAAGATGATAAATGTTCATCGATGACTGTTTCTCCATGATGAAGATGAATGTCGATAGATTAAATGTTATTATTTACCATTATGTCACATTTAAAAATAAAAGAAATGTAGGCTTTTATTTTGAATTTTTTTGCTGTCTTCAACTGAGTATGTTACTTGCTGTTTAAATTCAATCCTGGTTTTATTTTGAAAAAAATGAAGGACCTTCTGGTTGATCGAAGGTTACAACATTAACGTTACTGATCAAAAACTAAATGAAAACTACCAAAAGGAACAGTAAAACAGTGAAGTGTTTGATGTCATGAGGTGGATTTTACTTTGGACTCGTCATCTGAGCTGTCTCAGTGTTTTAAAGTGAAATGAGACATTCAAAGATGCAGCAGGGTCGTTCTTTTTATTTATTTTTTATTATTTTTTATTATTTTTTCATTTTTTAAATCTATTTTTTAGTATCTATTTTTGTACATTCTTAATTTTTCTTTTTTTTAATTAAATTGTACGATGTTCACTTTTTGTTTGCAATCTTTGCTCTTTGCTGCTGTAACATTTTACAAATGTATATGCTGCAACATGTAAATTTCCCCGTTATGGGATAAATAAAGGATTATCTTAGACACTTTCAAACTGTGTCTAGAGGGATTCATTAATTAATGCTGACAGCCCTACTAATGAGCCCTTTCCATTTTAAGACTGAGACTCAATCTAAAATAGCTGCCAAAATGAACACTAGACTGTTTTTTTTTTTTAATCGAATGAACTTGTTATAATGGTTTGGTATGTATTATTTGTTCGTTCTCAGGTCTCTTTTGCAAAGAGATCTTATAATTCTTGATAAGGGAGGGACTGTTTGAACACAACCTCAATAAAATACATTTTATCCTGCTTAGTTCAAATAGAGCCAGTCTGGACATGACTCCTCAGAAGTCCTCAGAAAAACTACCCCAACCTGAATAACTGTCAGTGACATGAGTTTGCAGCCTGGCTTGTGTGTGCTCTTACATGAGGTCTGGCCTCTGGCGGTGTATGAGAGCACAGAGGGCCAGGCCGTTCTTCCAGGAGGATGTGAGGTTGGTGACGTTGACCCCCCTGTAGTCTTGAGTCTGCTTCTGACACCAGGTCAGCAGCCGGCCAGGACGCACATCAGAGTCTGTGCAGGAAAAAAAACACATCCACGATGAAATCATTGAGGGGCAGACAAGCTGTTGACTTTGAACAATAAAACTTGTGTCATTAAAAAAAAACAGATTTTAAATCCAGTGTAACACTTAAGCCTTGTAACTAGATAAACTTGAATGACTTCACAACAAGCCTAAAGCAAAGTAACCCATGACGGTAAAGTCAGAGACAGAGCAGACATTCAGGTCTCTGCACAAACTGTCCTTCTTTTACAATCTTTAAAAAACTAAACTTTAGAAACGCATATCTGTTATGTAGTGTCTTTCTTTCCTGTACAGGGAAAGGAATGAGGAATAAAGAGAGGAATGGATTCCTGAGAGCTTGAAATCACAAGTTGTGGATTGTGTTTAAAGACTTTGTGATTTTTTGATCCAGCAGATGTCGCCCTTGAGCACCAGCATGAAACCAAAACAACTTGCACTGCATTGTTGTGTTAGCATGTTAATGCTAGCGATCTTTATTATGCTGGTATCTTCACACTGCATGTAAATTTACCTGAAATGAGCGTGATCTAGAAACACAGTTAAGCAGTGAGTACAGTATGTTATTCTTCTTTTCTCTAGTCCCTCAATTAAACAACTTTTATACGTGAGGGAGGAGTCAGCCGGCCGTCCCGACGATGTAAACAAAGTGAAGATAGGACTCTGAAAACTCTGAAAGCATCACAGACAGTGGGACTCGGGTGTTACACCCATTGTAGACAGTCATGACTCACAGAGTTATTTTCAGAGGAGATACTTGATTTATATTATATTTAAGTGTGAAAAATCACATATTAAGCCTTTAATAGGATGCAAGTTATGTCTAAACCTTTTTCACCATTTTATTGTTTGGTTTGGTTGAGGAGGCACACAGTTGAACAACAACTTCTAAAACATGTTTTTCACAAAAATGATAACCGTCCATGAAGTAAGGTTTAAAACAAGAGTAGGAACTGAATATGTCTCTTGTGTGTCTTGACTTAGAGTGGTGTAAGTGTAAGTCCATGAAGTGGTTCCTCTAATGGTTAAACCTCCATAGATTAGTCAGCTGTGTCTGCCACATGCTGTTTAAAGGTTTATTTTTTGGGCTTTTTATGACTTTATTCAGAGGACAGTGGATGGAGGCAGAAATCGGGGACAGAGTGAGAAATGACCTGCAGGAAAGGAGCCACGGGTCAGAGTCGAACCTGGAGAGACCGCCTGGAGGACCACAGCCTCCATACAAGTTATGGAGTCTAAACCTTTTTCACTATTTCAGCTGTGACTGAGATAAGGCTCACACTAGCCACTAGGCGCCTCTGCCGCATATTGTTTATCAGTGTAACCCTGCTGGTGCAGAGTAGAGCAGGTTAGCACACGTCTGTGAGAGGCATCATGTCTGACCCTCATGTGGGTGAAATGTTATCCCGCTGTATTGTCTGTGATGAGGTGTGTCAGCTTTGACTGAGATAAGGCTTAAGTTTCCCCTCAGCAGAGACACACAAGCATTCACTATGACGTCAGCCTTCTCTCCAGTGAGCCATTTTCAAGAGTTAATTTTCAAACAGCATGACTGGTCATGCCACATTGACTCAGGGTTGAGACAGTTCCATCAACATTTGCAGCCTCTTAAATTAAGTTGTGAAGAACATGAAGGAACACTTTCATAAAGTGTTAATGGGCTTTGCATGCCTCTTATCTCAGCGGTGACTCATAGGCTCATCAGATTACCATTACAACATAAGAGGGAGCTTTGGAAGAAGAGTGATGTCACATTTGGGATGTTGGCAGCAATCCTCATGGACTATAATGTGCCGCAAACTTTGCACTCCCCAGCCTTCTGTGCGTGGCTCACACGCTAAAGCTAGCTGTTAACGAAGGACTTTTGGCTCAGAGGAGTGTAGCTGACGCGGTGTCAGTCGGACGTAAAATTGTTGGACAGTGTAAGCATTCGGCATTAGCCTACTCCCGCCTGGAAGACATTGAGCTGCCCGTAAGAAGACTCCAACAAGGCGTGCAGACACGCTGGAATAGCACGTACTACATGCTACAGTCTCTCACCGAGCAGAAGCGGGCCCTGGGAATATTTGGCTCCAAATATGAAATCCCCGACAATCTTACAGCGCACATTTCTGGAAAAAACTTGGTCTGTTTTGGCTCCGTTTGAGGAGTTAACCCAAAAAGTGAGCTCGTCCGATGCTTTAGCATCAGATGTAATTCCTGCTGTGACCGTGCTTCAGAGACTTTTGACCAAAAAACAGATGTGGATCAGGGCAGTAAATACTCGTAACAGTACTCGGTATCGGTGAGTACCCAAATGTAAGTACTTGTACTTGGTTTGCAAAAAAAGTGGTATCGGTGCATCTCTACTTACTATTGCTGTTCTTATTATTATAACAATTATTATGAAAACTAATAAAATCCTCATCTTTCATATCATTATTATCATTCATTTATCATCATTATTACTTTAGGATGTTAGTGTTTAAACACCCTGTGGCATCAAACATGTCAGCCGCCAGGACAAAATCCTCATCTCACCTCTTCTGGATAAGTTCACAGATCTACGTAGAGGTCCTCCTACTTCCAGCTGGCACAAGGACTCCTGGCCATCAATGAACAGATGACGCACCTGAAAGAAAGAAAAATAAAATAATAGGAGGGAAAGACAGAAGAAGAGAACATATCCTTATCAGCTTTCAAAAAGGTTTTAAAATAGTTTACATAGAAAATAATTCACCAATCACAGAACTGAATGTAAAAAAAGTTCCCCCAACACATAAACTGGATTAAAACATTTTATTCTGATGTCATGAAGCTTCATGAAATAAATATATCTTCATTGTTTATATTCAATTAGCTTTTCATTAAACACCTTCTGTAAATGATTGGGCTTCTGCATTTGATTGTATTCTCATTTTTTTCCCTTAGCACAACTTGGTCACTTTATGTAGAAATATTCTATAATAAAAAGTTGTTTTTAATCATGTAAGTGTGGGACTGACCTGATGTGGGCGTACACAGCTGGAGTTGAGGTTGGGGTAGCGGGTGCCAGGATCAATGGAGTACTGTTCAAAGTTTTTACTGATGTTCTCTGTGGTGGTCTGAGGCAGCAGCCGGTAGAGACTCTCCCTGAGGAACAGCAAAGCAGATATAACCGGCTGGTTCTTCATAGAAAGATCTGAGATCACTTTGACCCTTTGATCTGTCTGAAGACAGGAAACACTGGGAAAAGCTGAGGGTACAAAAAGGTTGCTATAAACAATGTAAACTAAAAACCTCTCTCACCTTTTGGGATTGATGCTTATTCACTAACTGTCTGTGAGTGTCGCTCTTCATCACTCTTAAATATCAAAAGGGAAATAAACAGAGAGCACAGACAACTCTAAAGTTACAGTATGCTGCATTCAAACCCACACACCTCTCAGCCAGTGTCTCCAGAGGACTCTTGCCTTGTGTCCAGCCCTTCACCATCCAAGCAGTGTCAAAGGCTGCGAGAAAGCCCCGAGCACAACCAGTACCCATCGGCCAGAAGGGCTGCAAGCAGAGAACATGATGTAAGTAAGAACATCACACACAGTCTGACATGAGAAGAACACAACACCCTCTGTCCCTCCTTATTGTACCTCAAGCAGACTATCTCCCACCAGTGCAACCACCAGCTGATGTCCATGTTTCTCCCGGATCAAGGCGGCGTTCTCTGAGGCGTACATGCTGGTAAAGTCGAACATGGCAACATCTGGTTGTCCATAGTGGTTGATGGCGTAGTCCAGCGATGGCAGCTGGTAGTTTGTTCCAAAATCAGCTGCTTCACGGGCGTAGGAGAGCAACGCTTCCTGGTTGACATTGTCCAGGCTCAGCAGCCGCTCCGTTTCCATGTAATCCTGTGTAAGAAAATATTTAGAAACTGCACTCCACCAGGACCGAGACTTTTTCTCTCCATAATTAACATTATGTTAAGTGATCTACAATACTTTAGCTGAAAGTGTTTAGAGTGGTTCTTGCACATAATGTTAATGTGTCTTTCCCCCAAAAACACAAGAAACAAAAAAACAATAAAAGACAGAAAGATGCTCCCAGGTGCCACCTCCCAGGTTGATTGTTTTATTCTCTTTGCTTGGCAACAGATATTTCTGTCGTGCTAAATATTTTTTAATAAATTAAATGGAAATTCAAAGTTTATCTATTTTTTTTCCTAGAAAAACAAAAAAAACAATAAAAGACAGAAAGATGCTCCCAGGTGCCACCTCCCAGGTTGATTGTTTTATTCTCTTTGCTTGGCAACAGATATTTCTGTCGTGCTAAATATTTTTTAATAAATTAAATGGAAATTCAAAGTTTATCTGTTTTTTTTCCTAGGGTGCTAAAGATAAAAAAAAGGGACTTCTGATTTAAATTTTAATTTGGCTTTGGGTCTCGGGGCTCCCTGATTTGGATTCCATCATTACAGGGAATTTAAAAACTGAATTGATTCAGTTTTATTCAGCCATACAAGTAGCACATCATTAGACAGTAATGTGTTTATGTGTGAATACAACAGTGAGTGACAAGTCTAAGAAATGCCCCCCATGCAAGATATGATTTCCTTTCTCAGACATGTGATATGTATGTATGTATGTATATGTTGCCTAAATATGAAAATCAATACAAAATTAATCACAAAAGGATTGATTTCCTTTCCTATTGAGTCTCCCAGGAAATAACTGGTACTTGTTTTTTTGGAGGTGTGATATGTTATCATCACCAAAATAAAACATCCTAAAAACCAGGGCAGTAACAAAGACAAAAAATAAAGTAACACATATTGGAATTAATCAGCACAAACCCTATTTCTCATATTTTAAGTTGTGACTTTAGTATCCTGAGTTTCACTCCTAGAGGACTATAATGTCAACACAAAGTGGTTCACTTGCTGAATAAGTCAGATATCCAAAGTGATGAGGCCTCTGAGGCTCTGTGAGCAAACTCTCACACAGCTGAGAGTGTCGCAATCACTCTGCACTGTAAGGCAATGTAAGACGAGAGGGAGACCACTGAGGACACAGCGAGGCAGGGTTTCAGCACCTGTGTGTGTGTGTTTGTCTGTGTGTGTGCACAAGTGTGAGAGGGAGAGAGAGAAAGAAAGAGGCAGTCTGCACATGTATGCCACTGGAATGCCAGTATATTCAAGTGGTGTGTGTGTGTGTGTGTGTGTGTGTAATCACCGCAAAGCAAATTAAATTGTGTGGACTGCCTTGGAAAACTGACAAATGTCCTGACCCTTACCCGTATAGGAGGGCACTGGAGAAGTACAGCACAGGGGAGGAAAGTATTTAATTAAAGGTCCTGTTCATTATAATCCTCAGTGGAGACCCATCAATCAGCTGCTCACTGCACTCGTGAACACACACATTCCAATGTACCCAGAAAACACTTTCACTATCTGCTCTGAGACCAAGTTGTAATTATAGCAACCAGTGTGTGTGTGTGTGTGTGTGTGTGTGTGCTTACATTTATGATGACCCCTTTGTCCAGCAGACTCAGCTTCTTGGCCGTCATGACAAAGTAGTGGGTGTTGTCTTTGTAGTAAACTATATTCTCCAGGTCTATTCCTACAAAGATTAGAAAATGGACATGAGAGGGTGTAATAACTTTTAGAGGAAGCTTCAAAGTGGGGGAAGTAAACAGAACACTGCTATTGCTTACCCGTCTCATCCTTGAGTTCCAGGAAGAACTTCTGGTTAAAGATGAAGGCCACCCCACTGATCTCCTCCACTTTGGCCTCTGCTGTGGTGTTCCTGTTGACAAAGTTAGCCGTGATGGCGATGGCCAATTTCCCTCGAAACTCTTTGCGACTAAAACCTGCAGGCAAAACAAAGAAAACATTCGAAATAAAACAACATTCAGAGGGAAAACGTCTAGTCTTTTACAGCTAACGTCACATCAACCCACTCACACCCTGATAACAGAGGCTGCTATGTAAAGTGATGACTAATTCATTCATACACATTCACACTCCGCCTACAAAGCAGTGGGAGCAACTCTGGAGCCCAAGAGCTGTGGATAGGACATTCAAAAAGCATCTAAAGAGATAAACAAATGTAACCCTCCTGGCTGCTGTTGGTCTACAGATTAAGAGACATTCTTGGCACTAAAATAACAATATGCACCGACGTTTTCCAAAAAAGTGAATAACCTACTTAATGTGCATATTTTCAGATGAACACATAATAAATATGCACACAGAGAAAGCTAACACAGCTCTATAACAGTTCATAAACCTGCACACACACTACCCACAGCTGACCACACACACACACTATCAAGCTCCCATGTCAACAGGAAATGCTTTAGCCACTGACTGGAAGCAGCCTGACGACACCTCCCTCCTTTAATGGAAAAAATGTGGGTCAGGAACAAACCCTTTTTGAGGACTCATTTCAACATAAATGGCCCATTTCACCCCACAGCACCACTCGCAACTGTGGTCGCCCGTTAAGAGTTTCCTTCCGTCTTACCATCTAAGGTGTTCTTCCGTCCGTCAGCTCCGATTATAACATCAAAATCAAAGTCTGAGACCACATGGCTGGAGGGATGAACTTCTGCTCGCCAACCAGGACCTAAGAAAGAGCACATCAAAATAGAAGAACTAACTTTAATGAGATAACTTTCATACCATAACATTCATCTGATCTCAATCAATCGAGTTGATTATTCATACTCTTTGTTATATTATCTACAAAGACCCAACATGAGTCCATCATGAGCTCTAAGCAACATTTAGCAAAGATAGTTTCATTCACACTTTGTTGAGGTGCTGATCGATTCACAATTGGTTTCCTTTTTTTGACCACTTGAGGTGTATCTTGTTGTTCATCACCTGCCACACAGCAGCTTAAGTATGATTCTCTGTCTTTACGTCGACATATCAGAATCAGAATCTGGTTTATTGCCAAGTACATTTACACATACAAGGAATTTGACTTGGTGTATTGGTGCTAAACACATAAGGAAATAAAGCAGAACTAGCAACAACTTCAATAATACAGTATAAGAAGATATTACAATATATAAAATAGAATTTATAAATGTAAAATATAAAGATAAAAAACACAAAATGTACAAAAGGTGCAATGTAGGAGCTGTGTAGTGGACTATGAAAAAAAAATCTTAGTGTATGTAACTACTCACAGAGTGCATGTAAGGAAAATACATTTTTAAAGTCCAGTGGGCGTTAATGTAACACATAAAGAACAGTTTCAGCATTCACATTACTTTGATGTTTTACTGACTGTGGGGCTGATGAGAGTCTGGGTTATGTGGGAGGAGGAGGGGAGGGCAGGGACATGTTATCATCATTATCGTCTCATATCTCCAAATGACAAAAGACATTTGGCATGTTGGGGAGATTCATTTAAAGTACAGCTGAAGTGTTGCTACCAGCAGACTCTGTGAATAGACCACACAGTCCACTCTATGTATGTCTTTTGTGAGCCGAGACCTATCCATACATAGCAAAGACATGCAAAGGTGTCCCTGGGTGTCCCTGCCACTCACAACCCTTTAACACAGATTATAGCACACACACACACGTGCAGACTCACTGTCGTCAGTCTGCTCCGCTGGCGGCTCCAAAAGTTTAACAAACTCCACATTGACGTGAATCTCCACTCCCAGAATTAGACTTACTTTCAGCAGCATCAGCTGGAGATTGCGGATGCCTGGAGAGGATACAGACAAATACACACATTAAGGGATTTAATATTCAAAAAGGACAAAGAAAGCTCTCTATATGAGTTTAATGGGCACAATACTTCAAGACAGAAACAGTTATTAATCACCTTGCTCATGGTAATAATAGTGTTATGTAGCTACCAGCCTATTCTACTGCTTTACTGTATCATATGTAACCTCCTGTAATCTTATCACAAAGCTATAAATAGAAGTGATGGTGGCTTTTTAAAGAGTACGTTTCATTTAATAGCAATGGAAGTTTGCCTACAGTAGTTTATATAATACAGTCAGTTTACTGGCTGAGACTGAGTGATCAGACTGTTCAACAGTACAACCACCTGACTCTAATAATGTTCAGTAATCAGTAATTCTACACTGTGTGTGTTGTTTTTACTAAGAACTGTCCTCTTTCTTTCTACAAGTGAAAGTGTTTATAGTATATGCCTAGTATTATTTTAGGTCTATTGTAATTTATTGCTTTATTTAATGTAAATATTTAGTTTTTTAACTATTTTTACTAATTATACTACTGTTTTTGAGCTGTTGTAACAGAGAAATTTCCCCCAATGGAGGACCAATAAAGTTTATCTTTATCAAATGAAGAGGCATATGTTGATCAAAGTCCAACTTATTGTGTTTGTGGTAAAATGAATTCACTTGTACAAAGCCAGGGAAAAATAAGCCTTGGTTGTGCTACAGGACTTCTGTGGCCAACACAGGAGCTGCTTTAGCTCAGTCGGTAGAGCAGGCGCTCCAGCTTCAGTGTTTTTTGATCTGGTCAAATGTTCAACTCCTAGTGTGTCGCTCATAAGGACATGTTTTTCCACTACAGCTGTCCTATCAAACAAAAAGCAAAAGTTAGGAGTTTTTATGTTACATGGAAGCCTTAAGACTACGGACGTGCAAATTCTGAACACTAGCAGGTGTGCCAGCAAACCCCTTGTAAATATATTGTTTTGAACATATGTGAAAAAAATATATCTTCAATTTGAATTCTCAGTCATACATAACATATACAGTAATCATCCATTATCTATACTGCTTATCCTGTTCAGGGTCTGGAGACAATTCCAGCCGTCAGTGTGTGTGTGTGGGGGGGGGGGGGGTAAACCCTGGTCCTAGTCAATCACAGAGTTAATAACATAACAGAGTTGATGATAAGTATTTAAACTGGATAAAGAAATAGTGTAAGTCAAACTAAAAGATGCATGTATTTTTGGATGTGAGTTATAGTAAGAGTCACACACAGAAGAGTTCATCGCTGAGAGGAGATATTCATGACATCGTTACTAAAACTGGATAGAATGAAGTGCCAACAGAAAGTTCCCAGAAGGGCGCGCACACACACACACACACACACACACACACACACACACACACACACACACACACACACACACACACACACACACACACACACACACACACACACACACACACACACACACACACACACACACACACACACACACACACACACACACACACACACACACACACACACACACAAAATAGTACAGAGAAGGGCTGCACTATTTAAATATTAAAGTCTATATGATTATTCATATTTTTGAAAGATGAAAGGACTGCAGATATTGTGGTAATTTTATTTGACATAGCCATTTAAATTGAAGTTTTGAAGATGTCCGTTGTTAATATTTACTTTCAGTTTAATTTCCCATCACAGGTTTGGACTTACTGATGTGGTCGATGGAGCCAGCACAGAACTTTCCATAGAACTTCTTGGCACCGAGGCCCCTGAGGTCATGGATGGTGAAGGGCCAGAGATGAAGCACATTGTTTCTGGAGAAGCTGTCTCTCTTCTCGATCACAACCACCTTACAGCCCAACAGGGCCAGCTCAATGGCTGTCCGCAGACCACATGGACCCCCACCGATGATCAGACACTGGAAAAAAAGAGGCAGAGGGAAGGCTGAATGGGCTGTAATCATCAAAAGGGACACACAGGGAGAGATCAATCTAATGAAGGAGCTACCTTTTAACTCTTGTTTTAAAAAGTGAACAGTGGCCTTCATGATTCAATTTGATGCACATTTTTCACTTTTTAATAAACCCTTAAGAACATGATTTATGTCGATGATTATGTGATTTATGTATATCCAAACAGTTATTCAAGTAGGTGTGGGTCATATCTTATAGTTTGAGTGATGTTAATTCTGAGCTCTTGTTGAATTCATGTTGCTGGTGCTTTATCTGCTGTTTGATATCATCACACTGAAATGTGAACAAAGCTTCATCGAAAAAGTAAAAAGGATCCGCTATGAACAGTTACGGTCCCACTTCTATGTCAATATGCTGTGTTGCGTTTTACAAATAAAGGTTATAGGCAAACCAAGTAGCTATGAAATGACTGTTATATCACTTTGGAGAGAACATATTTTGGCATCTTCCAGCAGAACAAGAGATATAGAGAGTGATTTAAAATGTGAGTTACAGAGCTCCCATCCTGCTATAGTGCCAGATTTTTTCTTCTGAACAGCAGTTTCTACTGAAAAAAATGTGGATATTTCTGTTATGTTTGGCCAACCCTCAGCCCAACCCATTTCTGTTAATCTTCCCCCTGCAAGTCTGTGGCCTCTTTTCCCTTCTGGACATCTTATCATTTCCTTTAGCATGAGGTCATTTTCAACTTAGCAACATGGGCTGCTTATTATCCTTAGACATACATGCTCTGGCAGTTAGACAGATAAAATAACACATACAAGAAGAATCAAATGAAGAACTTAAGTCACATACTACTCTCTGACGATATGATGTTTGTATCTACACAAATTAGGCAAAAGAGAAAGTATTAACGGCTTTAAGTACAAGTAAGTAAGTATCGAAAGTCTTAATTAATTCTGATGTAAATGAATGGTTGTGACCTGAATAACCATCACCTAAAACCTTTTTTGCTCTGTTCAATTTTCTTTTTTCACACAGACACATTAGGAGATGATTTTCCATGTTAAAAGTTCAGCCTTCTTGTGTTGCATTGTAGCTGAGCTCCCATAGTAAAATGTCTATATTCAGTTGTTAAGAGTGAAACTGAGCTTAAAACAACTTAAGCAAAGATACAGTCTTTCCTACAGGGAATCAGATCTGCTCAAAGTTCCTCCTTCTACCAAAGAACCTACAGAGCCTTCATTTTGCAGTCATGATTAACAGTAAAAACACCACCATGCAAAAGTGAGAAATCTCATGGAAAAATACTCAGATGGAATCCAATCATAGGAACACTTGGTGTTGTTGAAATGGAAATTTGACCTATTACAAACTGTCTTGACAGTTCAAATATATTGAATAATTGAACATTTCAAAGTACTAAACAGAGAAAAGTATTGATGCTTGTTGGCTGTTACCAAAGATAACAAGCTAAGATTATCGGCATACTTTCTAATTCCAATAGCTTTTTCGCTCTACATAATAGAAAAGAAAAACTTTATTATTATAGCAGGTAAGCAGTTAGACACCCACCTTTAAAAGTCTATCAAACAACCCTGGATAAGTCCCTTCCATTACAGTAATTCTACCCTATTTGAATGTGTTTCACATTCTAGAGATGTACAGATGAATTTCAAACATCACTAGACTGCTAAGATACTTCATAAAACAATCATTTGGTCTACAAGTAGCCTCTTACTCCTGTACAGGTAAATCACAGTTGGTCTTACCCTGGTGTCTTTGCATGCTTTGTTCTGGTTGTACACCTTCTGTTGTGCCCTTTTGTCCAGTTTGGTCCAAAGGGCCTTGACCTTCCAGGTGCTGACTGCAGCTTTCAGTGAACTGTAGAAGTTACTGTAGTCCAGAGGATCCAGTTGGAGCTGCCTGCAGAGGATGCTGAAGGCCTGCAGAGTCCCTTTACAGGTGGAAGCTTGAACAAAGTTTTCAAAGAGCACACTGGCCTGCGCTGTACGCTCATCCTCCGTCTCACCCATCTCCTCTGATGGCAAGAAGTGTCCGGTCTCCTTTAACACTCGCTCTCCTCTTCCTCTCCTCCTTCTGTTGATAAATCCTTCCACACTGTCACTTCTACACTCCAGTCATGTAGTGGCTGCTGCCATGCTTACGTTGTTCTGAAGGAAAGAATAAAAGATTTTTAGAGACATAATAATCCAGAGCCCTGAGCTCAAATATAATCAGGTAAAGCAAAGCTTTTGCCGCAAAGATTGCAAGGGGAATAAAAACATCTTCAAGTTGTAACACAATCTTATACACCTGAAGAGTCGTCATAACAAGTAAGACATATTAAAGGAAGACCAAGCAGCAGTAGCCGCCAGCATCAGCACCAAGTCAAGAGAGTATTGTAGTGCCGATTTAACAGGCATTTGTAAACTGTAGAAAGTTTGCAAGAGACAGCACAGAGGCTAAAGAACTGATTGACACAATCACAGATCGTGTCTTTAATTGGACCGCAAGAAAAATAAAAGCATCACTAGATCTAGTCACTAGCTCATCCCTGGAATGGATTCAACGTTGAGATAGATTTATTGAATAGAAGACTAGAGACAGTGCACTCTGTAAAGGTTTTGTGAGTTAAGTAATGTATTCAGTGTGTAGATTAGAGAACACCAATAGAAATCTCAGGAAAATGTTTAAAACAAAGATGTTAACAAGAAAAAGTCATTTGGTTATTTTTAAGCCTAAAACAACACAGGGGCTTGTCTATTTGTACTTTTATCCGACAGTTTATAGCATTTCATTTGAATTATTTAGTAAAATACTCAAAAATAAAAATAAAATAAAATCAAAGTATGTTGGTTGTTACTTTTGATGTACTTTGCTAAGTTTTTTTTTTAAAGGTGAAAGTTAATAACAATTGAAAGTCAAAAACTGTTTATTGCTTTTCTGTGTTGACAATGGTGATGTTAGTTAGTGTAGAATATTAATGAATACATCTTTGAGACTACATTAACCTTTCTAACCCTCAGATGTGCATACTTGTATATTTGTTTTGCACATGATAAAAACATATGATTGTAAAGTCCAGTGTATAAGAGCATTTATTACCGTTCTTTCATCTACAAAGTGGACTGCGTTCTCTAAACCCATGCAACCTATTTACCTGTATTTATGAGGAGACGTGTCCACCATGACCACAACTGCAGTTGCTATCATAACTCAGTACACGCCACATCACATGGGTCCGTACCTCACAACTATCAACGTTACAACAGACTGAGAGCTCATACCAGTAGTTATTAGGATTTCAAACTCCACATGGTGAAAACATTTGGTACTAGAAAGAGTTACAAAGCTGCACAGAGACTACACACTGTGGACTTGGCTGAACACAATGGAAACCATCATGCAGAAAGACAGTTTAAACCTTGTTCCCACAGGGAAACCCCAAAAACTGACTGGGTCTTATGAACCAGACATATAATCCAGATCTTACCGTAATGCTTTAAAGATATATAAATATTTTCATCGGTTTAACAGCCAAAAACATTTCTGTTTTCATTCCATGTCCTCTCATTGGTCTCACTGCAACCAGGGAAATGTTTTCAGGGAAAAGGCTCTGAGAAACTTTTAGTGTATCACCTGGCAAACACGTAACAGGCTAAAGAAGCAGATTTGCTCCTCATTAAGCAATGTTTTCCCAACACTTACTTTGCAAGCTCACATCTGTAAAAAAACAACAGTTTATTATGAAGTGCTTTTAACACATCATTTTGACATTTGCTTAAAAGTTTTTAAGTATTAAAAGGTTGTCATGAAAAGGATTACAATCTAGTTCTACTTTGTATCATACTGAAACACAATGACCTGGCCTGCATTGATAGTAATGTCTTCTACAAATCACAAGGATCTAAACTTTCTGGTGGAAAAGTTTAAAATCGTGTAAATGAGCGGTCACATTACAAAATGGAAGGAATGTTGGCACACCACTGAAAATAAACTGTACAGGTCATTGCGTCGCCTCATATAGTTCAAGTGTCAATGTCCTGCATTCTGTATGAGGCACACAGGAACATATACTGCCTGGACCATTTACCTCCCTGTCATGAAATATATCCTGTGCTAACAACAACAAGCCTGCAGGGTTCAAACAGTCACTAATCAAGCTTACATGTTTTTTCTCTACAACAAAGATATTTCCTCCTCTAGCTCAGCTGAATGCCTGATAGGATTATGACTCAGTGCACATTTGGAGGGGTTCAGTTGAGCAGTCATAGGGGGAGCTCAAACGATGTGGCTGAAGAAATACAGACAAAGCAGTCAGACTTCCAATTCACAGACCAACAGCAATGCACCAGTGAAGAAATCCACCCACTGTTAAATACACTTGCAACTAGGACTAATGCAACCTCTGGTACCTCTTGATAAGCTTTTATGCCACTCCTCTCTTACAAGAGAGGCTACAAGAAACAACACATTCTCGACAATAAGCCAACATAACCTTTTCTGCCTTTGTATTCATGAAAGGAGAATATTGAGAATGATGTGCACCAAAAGGCCGAGGGTCAGAGTTGACACTTTAGTAAATGCAGCTTATCCGGTTGTCAGGGGGTTGGGATGTGGTACAGCATGTAAAGCAAGATATCTAGTTGCCCCTTTCAAGGTCAACATCCAACCTACTGAGGAGACTCATGTCCATAACAAGAAGGTCTGGATGGCTAGTAACATACTGCAGGATCTTTCTCCAGTAGGTCAAGCTCAGCCAACCAAGGGAACATTTTTGATAATACAAGGTGTGAATGGCTAATACTGTACCCCGGGGTCTTACCCTTATTAGACAAGCCCAGCCAAAAAACAGACGAATCCCATTTCAGCTGCTTGCATCCACTATCCAAAGCACATTATGTAATGGGTTCCTCGTGAGTTACCCCGTATCGGTTTTGGTCCTGTGTAACCCTGGCATTACCACTTTTCAATCAGCCTGACCATCTGATGTTCCATGTTATCCTTTTTGTGAAAAATGGCTACAGGATAGTTCAAGTCTTCATCTGCGGGCTGCAACTTGCACCCAACCAATAGGGAGGAATTCATTGGATTTCATTAGAGAACCGTGGTCTAAGCATTGGAGATTCTGACAACATGTGACTTGACCATGTGAATTGGTGGCGAAGTCAAACCCCCTCTAGAAATGTTTATTCAACTTTATCCAAAAAATGTAGACATAGATGTAACTTAGTTGATCCCAGGACTGGATGGAACCTGTGATCCCTACTTCTACATACCCACAGCAAGATTCTCAGGCTGGGCATGGTTGAAAGCTTTCTCAAAGTCCCCAAAATACTGGCAAAAATGGGCAAACTCAGATGAACTGCCTACAATCCTGCAACAATATAACTGGGCTAATGCAAGTTTAATTGTGGATTTGATTCACTTTTGAAAAAATGCATCCATTAATATATTACAGACAACCCAGACATCCCTCTCCCCAGCATCATTTTCTAGCTTTTCCAGGGGGATGCCAATGCATTTTCAAAGGGGATATTCCCTACAGCAAGCTCTAGGTTTACTCCGGCATCTCCTCCCAGTTGACCATGCCCAAAACACCTCCAGACAGAGGCGCCCAAGAGGCATACTAGTCATCAGATGTTGATTTTGAGAACAAGCAGTGAGAATCCCCAAGGACATCTTCTGGTCCCCTCCTTTGGAAACGAGGACCACTTTCCTGTTATGCCAATCCACAGATACAATGCCAATGGTTTAAGTAACACTTGGTTGGCATGTCAACCAAAAACAAACAACGCTGTATAGTGCCTTCATCATCTGAAGGGAGAAACTCAACCATTCTCAATACATTGCAGATGAGACACTTCTTGTCTATTTTAGGTGGCATTGTGTTGGATTGGAGACAGTGGTTGAGAGGACTCAGATTCTTTTTGTATTCCAAACTCTTCTAAATAACAGACTTATTACATTATTTGAATCTGTTGCCAAACTTACTGCAGGTATCTCGCTGTCACAGTTAAATGTCTGATCCTACTGGAAGCCTAGAGTATTCTTCTCAGTAATATTACAGCCACGTAATCTGCATGCGTTTGTCAAGGAGCTAGAACGAGGATTCTTCTCTCTTACACACAAATACAACATCAAAACAACCCGAAACAAAACCACCTGATACCTTGTGGATGAACTCTATATGCAAAGAGTGTGTATGTCAGGGCAGGGAAACAAGCTTGCTGCAAAAGGACTAAAGCTGGCTGGCCCTTTAGTTTGTTCCAGATCACATATCTGATTGCACACACACACACACTACACTTACAAGAAACACACACGTTCCTGTAAGTCCTTGAGTGGCCCAAAGGGGGTCTTAGATCTCTGCAAACCGACTGTTTGGCTGCAGACAGAAGCTTCTCAATTACAATTAACCCCTCTGTAAATGCCTGCAAACATTCACACACGCACGCACGCACGCACGCACGCACGCACGCACGCACGCACGCACGCACGCACGCACGCACACACGCACACACACGCACACACACACACACGCACACACACACACACGCAATGCTGAATAATTCAACCCATTCAATGGAGAGCACAGCAGACTCAGCATGACCTGGCCAGTATAGATTAGTGAGGAAAAGGGAGAGAGAACAAGAGAAAAGAAGCAAAAAAATCACAGTGTTACACGAGAAAAACCTGTGACAGACCGAGGTGTCTTTGACTGTATGTGTCCAACTCAATAACTGATGGTTACAGGGGCTTCAACAGCTTTAACAGTTAAGAGAAGACTGTCATAGCAAAATAAACTTTCTTTCTGCCTCATCCACATCTCTAAATAACAGGAAACCACTGGACACAATAAGCTGGAGACAAAGACATTCAAGAGGTTTTTTTTTTTTTTAAATACCCTCCTTATATCAGGTCAAAGAATGACTGCCCTACATCTGTTTGGCTCAGCTAACAGTTAAGTGTCTACTGAGAAACAGAGCTAAAGATCTTTGGGAAGGATCACAACATGCGGATGCTGTACTATATATAACCACATCTGGCTGTGTGCCTTCTGGTAGCCTACAGGAAGTGGTTAACTTAGTATCTTTTCTTTCTAACTTTTGTGGGAGGGTGTGGGGGTTTCCAGTATCTACAGATCTGTTTGCATTTCAAGGAAAGTTTT